TAATATACTCCTAAAATAGTAGGAGCTTCTTCAGAATACTCGGCCACGGTACAGTTCTATTTAAAAACAGTAAGCTTACTTTCCTTTGTCATTCAACAAGATGTTCACTTGTGTAGGGGGTCATCTTTTCAAGGACTTAGTTCTCTGTTGGCTACAAGTCTGCATTTCCTTTTGTTTAAAATCTGTAATTATCATCACATGAAGACAAGTAAATAAAGTAGAGAGTATTTGTGTACAAGGATTGACTTGTGTCCTCTTATAAATAGATAATATTGAGCACCTTTATTCAAGCAATACTGCAAATTAGCATTATATATTTCCTATTGGTATAAGTCATAGAATATCTTATAGCAGGATTGAAACTGAAAATGGCACATTTGTAATTACAAAGCCTGATGCAGTCAATAGATTTTAAAAGCTATTTAGCCACTATTTGTTTAATGATTGTGTCAGTATGGGCAAGCACATGTTATTACATATTTTTCTGTATTATAAAAACTCCTCAAAATGTGAAATTTATACATGTTTACAAATCTCCTGTAATCAGTGCTGGGGTAACTTAGCGGGAGACCCCTTTTCTTTCTTGTAACGCCCCTCCTCCCTCCGCCCAATTTTTCCCAAGTCAAATATGGTTTCATGGGTCTCATTATATTTACAGTTAAACCCTGTTATACGGACATTGAGGGGACTGTAGAAATTGTCCATTTTAATTTAGAGAAAATTTAAGGGCTTTTTTTCCCGGGAACAGAGCAAGCTGGCTGTAATGATCAACAAGGCTGTGCTCTAAGGAACATTGAAAGGAGTCCAGTTCTCTGAATCTGTAAAATCTAGGCTGCCCAGCATATGATTTGTATGAAAAAAAGGTGAGATTTTCTATTCACACAAGAGCACAAGTTAGGCGCCAGGGACCACCGGGCTCTGCTAGAGCACAGCCTTGATAAGGTGTCTTTATTAAGCGGGTGTTCGTCTCCCCAAATCAAGCTTCCAACCGTTTGCAAACAAGGCTGATATTTACACCCAAATAAGGATACTGGTCGAAGTTCATTGAGTACCGAGAACCTCAGTCTGAGCGTCAGATTTCACGTGTAGCTTCACGTGACTTTTAATGAGCTTTGTTGTAAACAAACCCCGAAAGTTCGGACAGCCGTTCTCTTCCACATACTGTAATTTTATACACGAACTACGAGTCGCCATTTCATTACCCAAAGAAATAACTTGATGTAAGCAATAGATTTCCCCGAAAATATATTCAAGCTTCCAAGAAAACAACCGTTTGCAAACAAAGGTGATATTTACACCCCAATAAGGATGCTGTTCGAAGTTCATTGACCGAGAAAAATTCACCTTCTGAGCGTGAGATTTCACGTGAAGTAAATAAACCCCGAAAAGTTCGGACATACGTTTTCTCCCACATACTGCACTTGGCAGCAAGGGATCCTCTCGGCTTTTGAGGTGTTTGCCGAACGCTGTAGGACTCCAGTAAATCGCCCAAAAAAGAGTAATTCAAGCTACCCTAAACTGAATGAAAGTGACCACAATTTCCGGGCGGTCTGAATGGGATTAACTGACTAGCGACAAACGGCGAAAAATATAACTGACTACCCACAAAATGAAAAAAAAAATTACGACTACCGACAGGAAAAATATTAAACGACAACTGACATGGTCCGTAGACTGCCAGCAGTCTCTTATTTTTCTTTTGAGACATTAATTTGCATACCCTTTCGCTCGCTGTGCGTGGCTCTGAGAAAAGAACAGGGCGGAAGGACATGGCTGTCTGCATGGTCCGACATTGTAGGGATGTTTTTATTCAGAAATAAATAGTATTTTTTTACTTCTTATTTTTATCAAAAATATAATCGTGAAGGAAAAACACTTTAAATCCCAATTTCAGTTCGTTTAGAATTTTCTGTGATCAAATTCCTTGTGTCAAATTGTTATAAAATTGCGTAGGTTTTTTCCTGGCCTGTATAGAGGACTGCCTATTTCGTGCCAGCAGCTCAAGCTCATTTGAGACCGTTCAAATTGTGCGCCTTTGTTTCTCCTCCTTTTCGGAGAAAATCCGAGGAAAGCGCGCGCTCATAATAAAATAGTCATCAGCCAAACCAAAACAAAATCTATGTTGGCGGTAAGAAAGCGATTACGGAAAGGTTTGGATAGTACTGAAGCGAATCTGAATCTCTCTTTGAATGGGGCTATTATTGAACAGGTTAAAAGCCATAAGCTTCCCGGTATTCATATAAACCAAGATCTTCACTTCGACGCTCAATCAGATGCTCTATGTAAATCGTTATCAAAGAAAATTGGACTACTCAAGTACATCAGTGCATAGTTAAAAAGATCACATAAGGAGCTCTGCTATGATGCCGTACTTAAACCATCTTTCCTTCATGGATCGAGTGTGTGGTCATCTACGAACAAGGCAAATTTGGACAGCATTCTCAGACTTCAAAAGAGGGCAGGGAGAGTGATCCTGAATGCACCTTTTAACTAAAGATCCGTGGACCTGTTTAATACACTTAATTGGATTTCTTTTTATAGGGATTCGCACATAATAAAAGGATGCGCACTCATTCACAAGAAACTTAAAGAAAACACTCCTAATTATATGAATGAAATCGAACTTCTAGTTACAAATTCTAGCTTGAATATGAGGAATACAAGATATTCTAATTTAAGTTTGCTTTGTCCTAGATATATTATGCCACGGAGGGTGGTCGTTCTTTTACAGTTTGTTCTATTAAGGATTGGAACTCTATTTCAAGATCTCTGAGAGTTTTGGACAGCAACTTACGTTTTAAAAAAAGCCTTTTTAAGAAATTTTTAGTTACTCAGAAAAAGGACTTAAGTTAACTTTTTAACATATGTAATTTTTACATCTTAACTTATAACGATATTGTGGATGTTTTAATCTGTATCTATATCATTCCTAATACATTTTTATGACTTAAGTTCATGAAAGGCAGAATTAATGCAAGTATTTTTTTTAATTTTTCGAGGGCAACTGGGTTATCAGTCTTAATACTAATACTGTCATGTGCTACCCTCGCTAAATGAAGTCACTAGCTAGCTATCTATCTATGTATCTATCTATCTGTCTGTCTGTCTGTCTGTCTGTCTATCTGTCTATCTGTCTATCTGTCTATCTGTCTATCTATCTGTCTATCTGTCTATCTATCTATCTATCTATCTGTCTGTCTGTCTGTCTATTCATCTATCTATCTGCCTATCTGTCTATCTATCTATCTATCTATCTATCTATCTATCTATCTATCTATCTATCTATCCCGGGAAATAGAGTTCAGTCATTAAAAATAACTTACCTGAAATCCGACTCATCGCAAACACTAGACTAGGCGTTTCACCTTCGACCACTTATTTCTCTTGATTCATTTCGTTGGTCTGTGGACTGGGAAGAACTGGTTAAAGACTGCTCAACGTGGCGCAAACGATCGCGCAGCTTAAGCAAACAAGACATTAGATAAGGTTCCATCGTAATCAAATGATTAATCTACGCGCAATGAAGAAATGTTAAAGTGGACTCCCGATAACTCGAACCCTCGCTAACTCGAACCTCGCGCGAACTCGAACCAAAATCAATTTCCCCTGGATTTCCGTCATATATAACTGTAATTTTACCCTCGGTAACTCGAACCTCCCGCTAACTCAAAGCAGTTTTTGTTTCCCCTCAGACCATTTCTATATAATTTTACCCTTGATAACTCGAACCATGTTTTGAGCCCTTAAAAGTCGGGACAAAACAGTCTACTGGCGTCCCAAACATTGAACTTTGAATTTCCCATTTACGTGTTGTAGGCATATAGTTTACTATGGGAGGCTGATGTTGTTTGTCACAAATCTAACGTGAAACAGCTTTACTTCTCAAACCAGTAAAACGCGCGCATGCTCTATTTAAGCAAGGTTTTGTTTATGTTACAACTTAGAAGTATCTTTTAATTTTCACTTGACATTTCTACAATTAAATGTGATTAAAATGTTCACTGTGCAATAAAAACTGTTTTTTCCTTACTCCTGGCTATTTTTTTTTAGCTTCCGGTAACTCGAACCAGCGATTTCCCTTGAAGGTTCGAGTTATTGGGAGTCGACTGTACCTTTGTATAGCGTTTTATTATAAACTGTGTGAATTAAATAACGAACATTAATAAGTAACTTCTTTTTTAATCATTAACCTAGATTAACCGACAATCGACAAAGGTCGAAAATTTTAACTGACAGGCGACAAAGTAATGAAATTTTAACCGACAACCGACATGTGGACCCCCTCACCACCCATCCCCCCCCCCCCCACCCCAGTTGAGACCCTCTTTAAAAACGCAAACAAGAAACAATTAACAACCAGCATGCCGACGCCATCTTAGATAACCGAGTTACAATAGTTATCCTGAGTTATGTGCATGCGTTGAATCCCGCAGAAAAGAGGTCACGGTCCCAAGAATGTGACAACAATTCACGATAATTACAAACTCAAACTGTGACCGTAACACTTGTATCGGGCCAAAAAACCTTGGTTGCTTGATCAGTGAATGACAATTTTGAGCTGCAAAACGGGCCAAAAAGTGCAAGTTATGCTGGCAGTGCTTTCATTGGAAAATATATGAAAAATTATGGTCGTAGTGACGAATTATGCCAAAAGAGATCTAGATAAACTTCCCCTCCTTAACACAAATATACAGTGTATATGTTGTGCTTCAATTTAGTCTCCTCGGTCATGTAAATTTTATTTTCTTTTGTTTTTGGGTATGATAATGAATGCGAATGAGTTTAAAACAAAAAATAAAATAAAATTTAAACAAATTATAAAATTGAGCCACAACATATATATCGACTACACGTGTATGTTGCAGATTAATCCTAGTAGATTAGCGAAACACGCGTGTGCGTGCGCGTCCAAGGGCTTGAAGATTCTTCCGGCTTTGGCTTTCAGTTTCGTGGAAAGAGAATTGACATTTTCAGCAACTAGGCAAGTTAAGCGAAACATCATGTTGGAAGCCTTAGTGGCATTTTTTGTCTACATAGCTGAAAGTTTCACGGGAAGCGTTCTTGAAAACTCTTCCGTTACAACTCATTGCAGACAAGATCAGGAAGACATAAATAACAGTGATAGCCAGGAGGTGGAACGACTGCTTCCAGAAACTGACCCCTTAAAAGACTTTACAAAGTTTGATCCTGAAAACGCTAGCGATACAATATTTCAGGAATTCGATCCTCTGCCTGGATGTTCCGGTAGTATGGCGTGGAAGCTCTCCCGGCCTGCCCCTTGGAAGTCGTTTGTGATGTGTTTCAAAACGGTGTTTGCGATGCATTTCTTATGGGGTTCCAGCATTGCTTTACTCGCGATTACTGTTGTGGTTTTAGATTTCAACATAGCGGACTTGTGCTACGAAAAGACATTCAGATGGAACAGTATGCCAAAAATGATCCAGAGTATACGAGTCACCGGACAGGCCGTTGAAGGATTCTTTATCCAGCTTTGGCATTTTTTTATTATGCTGTGCATGTTTGGGTTTTCAACGATGAAGGAACTCAACCTTTTAACGATCAATCTCCTCGCTGCCTTCATGGACGTCTGTTATCGACTATTTTTACAGGTATTCGGCATCTATAAACGCCCCTGGATGTCTTACCCTCTAAATGTTCTATTTGCCTCAATAGTGCTTAGCAACAGCTTGATTATAGCCAAGCACATCATACCTGTACAAATCTACAGCAAAACAAAACTGTTGAAGGTCACCAGTGTGCTAGCATTGCAATTCGTAACTGGTATACCTGTCACGTTTTTACTGGTTTACTACATCTTTCCATGGTATAACAAGAAAGGTGAGGTTGAGAAAGTACTGATTGCTGGTGCAAGCCCACTAATTATCTCTATTCCCAAAGTTATTGTTCGCGCAGCTGCGCCGAAGTTCGACCTCGTTCACCCAGGAGTTCTGTACCTTTTGGTGAGCACGCTGTACTCGAGCTCAGCTGTGGTATTCCGTGTAATGCAGGCAGAATTGACAAACTTTTCACTTTTCGCTGCCTTGGGACTTGGTCATGCATTGGTCGATCTTGTTGAACGCTTAACCGTTACCATGCGAGATTACATATATGAGTACACTTATAAACTCTTATCGCGCTGTAACAACAGAACACAAACGAGAAACTTTCACGCTGCTAAAGCTCGAACGCCTCGAAGCATGCGCTTCGTTGCGGATGTAAGCATTCAGCTTCTCCTCACAGAACCAACAGCCCTAGTCTCCGCTGTGTGGTTTATCCAATTCTATCGGTATATGTACCCTGATGGCGCGAGACCTTCCGTTTCGAACCTTGTCTGGGGATTTCTCGAGCGTTGTATTACTGGCCTGACCATAGATGTAGTTGTAAATACTCTGTCTATGTGGCTCCAGGTGACAATTTTCAACGTCGCTATTCTAAGAGTGTGGAACTCTAAGAAGAAGCGTTCCCACCTAATCGCTAATATAGTTTCTACCGTGGTGTCTGTATTGTACTTTACAGAATATCTCTTTGCAATCGTTCGAGCCAAAAATGACCCCCATACAGCCAAAAGGTTTAATTTTAATTGTACACTGCCCTTTCACTCCTCTTTCTAGACGGACATTAAGTGAAACAGACTATTGAACAATTGTTGTTGTAAAGCGCCATATTGGACAGCAATGGAAATGGTGCTATAATAGTAAATGTTATTATTATTATTACTATTATTAATTTGTTTTGCTTGAGAGAAAACTGTAAATTCTGTAATCGATCGTGCAATTCTTGGAAACCGAACCTGTAGTTCAAGATAGTTTGCTGATAAATAAAATCCTATGACATTGTTCAAAAAAATTAGTTTAGTACAGTCGACTCCCGATAACTCGAACCTTCAAGGGAAATCGAAAAAAGTTCTAGTTAGCGAGAGCTCGAAGAAAATAGCCGAGAGTAAGGTAAAAAACAGTTTTTATTGCACAGTGAACATTTTAATCACATTTAATTGTAGAAATGTCAAGTGAAAATTAAAAGATACTTCTAGATTTTAAATCAGAACGTAACGTAACAAAACATATAGCCTAAATAGAGCATGCGTTTTACTGTTTTGAGAAGTAAAGTACGTTAGCCTGTGACAATCAACATCAGCCTCCATTAGTAAACTATATTCCTACAACACGTTAATAGGAAATCCAAAATTCAATGTTTCGGACGCCAGTAGGCGGCTTTTTTCCCGACTTTTTAAGGGCTTAAAACATGCTTCGAGTTATCGAGGGTAAAATTGTATAGAAAATGACCTGAGGCGAAACGAAAATTGGTTCGAGTTAGCGGGAGTTCGAGTTATCGAGGGTTCGAGTTACCTGGGGTAAAATTACAGTGAAAGTATGAAGGAAATCCAGGGGAAATCGATTTTGGTTCGAGTTAACGCGAGGTTCGAGTTATCGAGGGTTCGAGTTACCTGGGGTAAAATTACAGTGAAAGTATGAAGGAAATCCAGGGGAAATCGATTTTGGTTCGAGTTAACGCGAGGTTCGAGTTATCGGGAGTCGACTGTAATTACTAGAAAGAAAGTGATCCGGTCGATGGGTTCTTGTGCTCTGTACTGTCAGATCCCACCCTAGAAGTTGATAGGCACCTCCTAATTTTCGATAACTTCAAAGGAAATATGGCCTAAGTAAAACTAATTTTTTATAATTCTTTCAGGTTGTTGTTTCTTAACCAAAGCATCTAGTTACTAGATCAATCAAACGATAGTAACTTGGAGAAATGAATGACCCCAACTTGATCCAACTTCTTATCTGAATATTAATCATACCTTTAAGTTAAACCTAACCAAATTATATGAAATAAAAATATTTCTGTTTCTTTTTTTTTTCACTGACTAATAAGTTTCATACCGAAAAACAAACTGAAGCAACTACAGCTATTTCGAGAAAGGAAGTTGAGTTCACTGTTCTCCAAAGAAATGTAAAAGAATTACACGAGAGAGCGTACACGTTTGTTAGCGGGAGCAAAAGGAAAGCAACAAAAGTAGCTTCGACAGCTATAGAGTCAGGGAGCGTGTATTGACCATATCCCATATTACCTTTCGAGATTGTCGCCTGCGCATTTTCTCCGACAACCTTTCGAGAAATAGCTGTATACACCTTATTCACGATGATACCCTCTATCTTTGCATGGGATAGAAGCAATGTCACGTGGTCTCTCAGGGGGCAAACAAGTGAAAATTTTGCTGATGCAAGAAATCGCGGTTGAGACGGTAATTGCAAATGATGGGTGAAAGTGATTATTGAGTAGCGACTGTAGTTGTCCTCACTGCAAACAACAATGACATAAATCTTGTCTTAAATTGTCGCCTCCTTTTGGTAGAATAAACCATCTCGACTAGTTTATTCAGTTTCTCGAAATGGCTTAATCTGAGCTCGAGGCTGGAAGTCGTCTGGCTCACGGCCATTGCCATTCACTCCAAGAGAGATAGATGGAATTTGGGCAGAATACCTTAGGAGAATTCAGTTAATTCGTTGGGGAACTACCCTAGGTCTTCATCTTTCCACTTTTCTCGAGTTGTTCCGCCACTTGTTCCACACTAGATGTGCAGTCTTCTTGATGCCTCAAAAGAGCCGTCAAGCAGCCACTATAGCCACAAATTGTTCCATCCGACCTCATGAATCAGCATCACATTCACCACAAGCAAATTTCCCCCTTTCTGCTCCTCGAATTTCCTTCCCTATCTTCAAGCTTCCACTGTACAATCACAAGCCACGCGATTAGATGTTGTGTGCGAAATTTGAGCGACTAGAAAGTACATGTGGTTATATGATAAATTTTCCCGGTTAGTTATTATCACTTCCGGTTCTTTTTGTGTTGAATAGCTGGGGTAGGGTCAGATGTACTTTTAGCAGTTGTTTGTGAAGGGTCATGAACCAATCCATTCCAGGAAATGGGAAAGCCAGGATTTCTTCTTCAAAAATTTCCAAAATACCCCGGTCCATCCCCACCCTCCCCTCAATTAAAAACGTACCTTCCATCACAAATACAATTATTCCTCACCACTGCTTGCGAAGCGAGATTTATAAATTTGCGGATATTCAAGACCAGCGGATGCGATCCAAGCGAGGTGCATGGAATCTGAGATTGTCTTTATATAAAATGGTAGCCCGGGGTGCCACCCAACAAAGTTTTATACGAAGAGGCTCCGTCCGGCGGATGTCCAATCCCTTGTTGCCCTTTCATATTCCATTTTTGGCAGAAAGGGTACCTCTTTCGTACATATCCTCCGTTTAAAAATGGTACCCCTTGGTTTTACATAACTGCTTTTAGTATATACACACACTCAGTGATCTTGATAATTCAAGCAATCTGATTGGTTAGCTATCTCGGACTATGACGTTATATTCACCGCGCTAGGCGGTGAATATAAAGCAGAACAAAATCGCTGTCATGAACTGGGTGTTTTGACAAAGTTTCATAGTAAAGCCATTTTGAAAATACACGAATATCCAAGTGCTGATGACTTTGAAGGCAAGAAAAGAATTATTATTGTGAAGTGGTTTACTGTGGCTGTCTTTTGTACGCTTGAAGCTATGTTTACTACTACAGAGGAGTCACAGAGGAAAACGAGGTCGCTTTGTCACTGTTTTGTAATTTCGGGATTTTCTCGTAAGATCAATTTTGCCTATAAATAGAAGTTAATTTATGGAGAAAAGAGGAAGGCAAATATGTTCGAAAATTGTACGTGCCAGCAAGTTAACAAGGCAAAGAACATTGGAGATAAACAACGCTCACCTTGATCGTAGCCGCTGTTAACGGCATTTGCAAGAAGCAACAAAGAAAACTTTCTCATTCACGGTGAGTTGACAGCAACAAATAAAGCTCTACTTTTCTTCTCAGAATTGGGTAGCAATTTAAATTTTCTGCGTTTTCTTTTAAACCGTTGATGCTAAAGCTTACAAAACTCGATACAAAAAGATTAAAAGTATCATTTGCCATGTTTGAAGATACTGTAAAGATCTAACTTTTGCGCATCCACTGTTTACGGCTTCGCGTTCACGCACGAATTTACCCGTCTGCGTCAATCAAACTAATCGTTTTTTAATGGTTTCCTTTCTGGTTCTGTTGAGATCACTTTGTGTGAATATACTAAAACAATTATTCACCTCAGGCGAAGTTAATATTGTTGAATAATCCCCTCGACTTCGTCTCGGGGATTATTCAACAATGTTAACTTCGCCTTCAGCGAATAACTGTTAAAAATTAAGAGCCACACCACGTCCGTTTGAAATGATGTTAATAAACAGTACTTGCGGGAGAACATAATATTCATAATAAGGATACAGCGCCGCTGGTGCGTCTATTCGACATATGACCCTTTCAAATATCTAAATGACGGACTTCCCTACCCATTCATATGTACTTCAGCTAGAAAGACTCTACCCTTTCATTTACCTTAAGTCTGGAAAAGACTCTTTTTGGGCTGGAGGCTCAATGTATAGGCCATCATAGGGAGTACCCCGCGGGAATAGGCGAATCTTTGCTGACGTCATCATTTACATTTTTCCTAGCATACGACTTAACTCATAGAAGCCGTGGCCGTATATATGAACTAAATGAAACAATTGAAAGAGCTGATTAAGTTGAGCGATTTGTGCAATTCTCTGCTCTTTGCATGAAATATTGAAGGAAGTATCAGCCATCAAAAACTGCGAAATTTCTGTGTGGCGAAAAAGTTAATGAGCCATACATTCTCTGTGAAATTTTGAGCTTTTAGAAGAGAATTTCTCTGAAACCATTCGGTGTATTAACTTTCAGAGATAACTGAAATTGTTATGCTGTTTCAGTGTTCAGAGTTTTTATTTTATTCGCGTCATCAGATAGTGATAAGCATAATAATTATGTTAATGAGCCAAAAAATGTAAACAAAGATTCGCCTATTGCAATAGGACTGAAGACAATGACTGTCCTCTAGTCCTTCCACAAATCTTAGAAAATTACTTAATGCAAACTGAAGGAAATAATACTGTTATAGCTCGTTCCGTCTTGTTTACGACTGAAAAAGAGCAAGCAAAACTTTGGAAGTATTGGACTTGGAGTGTTTGAAAGAAGACCTACAGGAAAAGTTCTGTTAGATTGTGGGCTGAATCCGACAACACAGGAAGAAACACAATCTACTGCTGGCTCAGAGTAAAGATCACAGTTCGCATTTACTCCTTACCGCCAAAAGGACCACTTCACAAGGACAGTAAAACTTCACAAGAAAAACCATCATGAATACTTCAGTTTGGGTGAATCATCATTTATTATTAATGATAATATTAAAACACCACACAAATAAACTCTAATTAAAAGTTTTGTCATTTATTACTTCCATTTTATGCAAATAATAATCTATATTACTGATTTTTGCTTGATACAATAATCTATTACTATTATCATCAGATAAAAAATATTTAGGATAAAAAAGAGGCTACAAAGTTTTATATGTTCTAAGGTTAACTCTTTAATAAAAATAACTTATATCAGGTTTTTTTGTTCATACAAACACTACAGTTACCCCAACAAGATGGTAAAAAAGTAAATTTCATTTCACGTAATGTTGGAGATACAAAAAATAAAAAAAGTCTTTTAGTCATCAAGCACTGAACCTTGCATTAAAGGATTAAAGTAACTAAGAAAGAGAAAATAAAGTTTCTTCTAGATTTGTAAAGTGGAAAACATTTTTTTATCAATTTATTTCACCACCCATTCTTTAATACCTCGATAGATACTACTAAGTTAGATATAAAAATATAAACTACAACTCTACGGGTTTTTCACCCCACTAATTCTAACAGCAAATTTGTTTGTACGTTCACCAATTCATTTAGCTCTTTAAAATATTATCAGCTATCTTTTGTGTGCTGCTGAATAACACTCAAAAGAGGAATAATTATTATAACCTGTGAAATTCTAAATAAATGGAGGTAAATCACATGATATTCTACATTTGTCATTTTCTTCTTTCTTCATCTTCTTCTTTTTTCTTTCAGAATTCTAACGTTAGAATTATGTCATGATCTCCTACATGCTATTATTTTGGAATTTTGGACAGACAGTTCAAATCTGAAATAGAGAAAGACAAAATTGCATTACATGGATGATGACAGCATTATGTTCCACAAATCATCATTTTTACGATGTGCAAATGATGTGTCTAGGGCCAAGTTCACCTTAAAGTGCATAGTGAAAACCATAACGAATATAACTAAGGCTTTGCTTTTACACAAGAACCCGGAAGAGCACTCAAGCTGGAGGTTTGGGTAGGGGTGTACTACCAAGGCCTTCAAACCATAGCCAGCCTGCATCACAGATGAAACTAAACTCTAGTCGAGTCCGTCTGCGAAACAGCGCTGAAATTCTTGTTCTGGGCCCGCACTAGTGTACCACGATTTGACTACGGGCAATGATTGGCCTGTTAAAGAAGCCATTGTCGATTTGCCAAACGAGATGAAAGGAAATTTAAAACGCACTTCCGGTAATTCGTTGAGTCTGTTGGGGGTGTTGCAGAAAGGGGATATCGAAAGGGGATATCGGTCAGGCTGCTTTGCAGGCATTACTAACCAGGATTAGATTATGTCTGCGATGCAGGCTACCAAAGCATGACCTTGTTTAACACAAGATAGACCGCTCACAGTTCCCTATTTTTCCGCAACATCGTCGACATCGAGCGCTTTGCGTTACGGGCTGCCATCTCGCATGAGTGTCAAAACTAAATCAAGACAGCCGCCATTAACGGTAAGATGCGCTATATCTCGACGACCGCACGGAAAATAAGGGACTGTGAACAATCTAAAGACAAAATTGCTCCTTTTTTTGCAATCCTTACTGAGACAAGAGACCTTTCCAGGGGGGATTGTGGGGGAAGGTGCATCCCCCAACCGGAAATGACCTACGGCTCTCTAATACAGGTGATGTTCTGCAAAAACGAAAATATGAGGTTTATTGGAGTTGAAGTAAAACATGAGATCAGACGTGCTTGAAGAATTTATGTTTAACGCCGTAAAAATGGTAGGTTGGCACGTCACATGACCAGTCAATTACGACATTCCTTAGTGGTGCACCTGTCCTAAGAAAACTCCTGTATCCTCCCCTGCTTTCTTCATGACTCTGATTCATTTAATTTTGTGTACAGAATTAGGTTTTTTACATAAAAGAATTATACTGTTTAAAAAAAAATTTTGGTACTTGGCATATAGACTACGTGTAGCCAACCTTGACAGGGTGTTCAGGGCTTCTGGTTTAGTAAAATGTCCTGTTCAATATGATAAATTCTGAAATTACTGTATACAGGGCTGTCACTAAGATTTCAAGTCGCCAGTTAACAAGAAGTAGGCAGGGAATCAAACAGCTATTGATTTCTTTTGGTGCTATTTTCCTCTATTTTCCAATGAAAGTAGCCAGGGGTCATGTTTATAGTAGCCAGGGGAAATCCCCAGCCCCCGGTCTTTAATGACAGCCCTTCTGTATACCCTGCCTAATACTTACAACCCTGAGAACCATCGCCTGTTTGACTGTGCACCCCCTCCCTTAGAACAATAACGATCATTTACTTTGTGAACATTGTGCCAGAGCACCAGTGCTGTGATGTTATCGCATGGTCATGAATGATTGTGGTATAACTGGTTTTCTTTTCATGGTGTAATATAAGTGGACAGAAAGTTGGTTGCTTCCGACCAGAAGTAAACAGAGATTCTTAGATTCGAGGACGAGAACGACTACGATTACTTAAAGTTTTATCGCATATTCTCAAAAATAATTATTCACCCCGACAAGCTTCATTGTACTTTTTTCACCAGAAACGTTAGCTCGTTAGGCCATCCCCCCTTTTTTCGTTTAGCGTCGAATACGTTTCCTGATATTGGGTCGGTCGGTCGGATTGAAAAAAAAAAAAACAAAAAAAACAACTAAAAAAAAAATCACAAGAAATCTCGGAACAGGAGGCCCTAGTGAACCCAGGATGACGTTAAAAGTTAACATTCACATATTTGGATTAAAAAAATGTACAATATACTGTAAAAAATGTTCCTGTTTCAGTTCCTATTTTTTCTCTATGCTGTTACTATGCTCAATTTTCAGATTTTAAAAAGAATTACTTCAAGTGAAACATGGTTTAACTACGTCGTTACTTTTTTTTTTTCTAGAAAATGCCAAAAATTTGAGTCGGTCGGACGACGCCATATAAACGGAGAAAAAAAAAAGAGGATGGCCTTAGTTTTATTTAAGGAAGTTAGCCTCCCGATCGCGAAAATGATAAAACTTCTAACACTGGAAAACCTGTTCGCCACTACGACATACTCGCTAAAACTCATTGTAGAATGACAACGGCTATTGTGTTTTGCTGCCAAAAATGACGCTCATTCAAGAGTGTGCTTTATTTAGTATTGAGGACATCTCGTTTTTAAGGTCGTATTTGTCTTAGAATCTAATGTAAAAGCTTTCTAACAGCCCCACCTACATGACCTTACATCATGCTTCCATTGGAAAAATCATAAAGTACCACTGCTGCATGTACCAGTGATCATCTCGTCCTTTATAAATTAGATCTTCATACCAAATACCGTGTAACAGATTATATGGAACAACCTTGGGTCATTTTGTGCCACAGCTGTTTGAAGGATATTGCTGTTGATTACTGTCCCAACAAAAAGTCAATCTCACCAATCGCGCATTTATATTCATATAGATATTTGCACGCTATAAATTTTTAAATTGTAATTAATTTATTATTATTATTATTATTATTATTATTATAGTGTGAACAAAGCCTACATTGCCAGTGATTTGAGGTTTCCTGTTTACTAATCACAGCTGCAACAGATCTTCAATCTGCTCCACCAGAAGATCCACAGTTTCCGAGACTGTTTGTTAAATGCCAAGAAACACACTGTTGTTAACGCAAATAATGCAGTGGATAGTGTTGAAACAATGAAGGTGGCTGAGAAGGTGTACTTTTCATAAGCTGTGGATTGAAACAAAAACATGTTTTTGAGTATGATGAATTTATTATAATATAAAAAATATAGATTTTTTAATATTATCTTACACATAATAAATTTTGCAATAACTGTAGAAATTCGTGCACACTTTTTGGATGGGAACATTATGCTTAAAATAGAGACAGGGGAACTTTAATCCCCCTCTTTTACACATTTTTTCCCAAGGAACACTACAGGAATTTTCAACCACAATTTATCATCAAGAGTTAACAGAAGTGAAACCATTAGCCAAAGGTTGTGTTGGAGGATGGATAGAGGAAGGAAGCAAAGGGTGGAATGGACGGACAGATGGATGGATGAACGGATAGATAGATAGATGAATAATAAAAAATACTATTAATATTCATGATAAATGAAGAATAAATAAAAGTGAATTCTGTCAATCTTTATGATTATCCTTCCTAACTGCTTTGTGTTCGCTTGTGAAACAAGGAGAATTAGACCTTACAATAGGAGATGTTTATTAGGGGCCTGCTTGTATTTAATCCACACAACCTGTGACAAACATGTCACGTTATTTGTTGTCTTTTAAAAAAGCTATAAAAACGTATCTTCGCATATTTTTTTATTTTATTTTTTTATTCAACTTTATTAGTAACGTTAAAGGAAAAAAAAAAACAAACTTACATGATATGTACAGCACAAGTAAGCAACAATAGACAGGTAAATACACTCATTACAGTACATAGAGAAGTAGAAAGAGACCCCTCCAAAAAAAAAAGTTTACACATTGTGCACACAGACAAAGGTTTTACTACAGAAGAAAGTTTTACTGAATAGAGAAGATTTTTTTGAGCCACCCAAAAAGAATTTTAATTTGGGATGAGGGGAACGCTGTCACATCAAGCTAAGAGAGTCTATTTTAAGCTGAATAATTGACTTGGATATAAATTCGGATGTAGTAGCTTTCTCTTGCATTGTTTTGCGTTCGTAATGGTACTGTTTTACATGTAACAGAGGAAGACGCAAATCCTGTATCTGTTTATCAGATAGACTGATAGTTACAGTTGGTAGATTGAGAAAATCTGTAGCGAAGTAAGGCTAACGTTTGCATTGTGCAAGTTGTTGAACCACTGATGGGACTCGTCACATAATTTCTTAAAAGACTGACATTCAAAGAAGGCATGTTCAAAAGAGTTATTCTCGCTACACATAACCCATTTCATGCAATCAGTTATCCCAAAGCATTTCAATTCCTTGTTGGTGGCTACTATTCTGTGCAAAATTTTAAAATAAAATTGCCTTAATTTGTTATCCCGAGTAATTTTGTAGTTACTTTGCGTGCAGCGCATTCAATAGACCTTTTTACCGATACGGCGGCCATATTGAATTAACTCGATTTAAGGAGTATTATAGGTGCCCAGGGGGCATGAGCACATTTCGTTTGTATTTTCCAGCGCTCTTCGTTTTCTTAGAATAAGATTGTAATGGGAAAAAAGATCCTTGTGCCGTGTTTGGAGGTAATAATACATCAAAACACTGCACAAGGATCTTTTTTCCCATTACAATCTTATTCTAAGAAAACTTTAAGAAAAACGAAATCTGCTTATGCCCCCTGGGCATCCTATAATACTCCTTAAATCGAATTAATTCAATATGGCCGCCGTATCGGTAAAAAGGTCTATTGTCAGCAACTTCAGGGCAATGGTTCTGCCACGATTTGATGGCAGTCGGTTCAGTATTAATTTTCTCAGCAAACAGTTTATAAAATTGCTTGCAGGAGGTTTTCTTTAAGTTTAGAGTTATATCTTTAACTAGATGAAAATCAAAGCTTGCCCAACTGAATTAAAGGGGCTATGTCACCCCACACGCATGCGCGAGTCAATGAAAACAAACTTGAAAAAGTTAGCCCGTCTTTTTCAAGTTCTGTCGGAGATGTTGGAAGGCTGTTTTTATCTGTCTAAATCTCAGCCATCGTTCGATAGTTAGCGAAGTTTTGTATTAAGAATCGTTCTATGGTGATTACAGAATAATTTTTTGGCGTTATTTTGAAATTGTTTGCCTGTGGAATGTTTTTACGTGGATTTACTGTGTCCTCTTATCAGCGGCCGTTGTAATGGCAGAGTTAATGACGGCTACTGCACAATGAGTGATGGAATCTTTGATGGAAACTTCCCTATAGTTCACAGAACCTTTCTATTGAGTTATTTTAGAGGTTGCTGGCTCTTGGATTTTTCTTGTGCTCAAAGTATGTGGACATATAATGAAGCGGCTATCGAGTTGGCGGCGGCCGTTTTTGGTAAACGATCAGGGGCACCCAACGGCAATTTTCGGGAAAATATCTGTTCGGAAGACCATTTGAGAACTAGAATTTTCGGAACATTTGTTGTAAAATTTTCTTGCTTACCTGCCTCTCCTAGGATTTTCGAACATCTACAAAATGGTATAATTACTCATTTTAAACGGATATTTACCCTAAAAAAGGCCACCTATAATTTTCGGGAGCCTTTTCCTGGCTGAAATTTTCGAAAAGGTAAGTTTTGATCCCTATAATTTTCGGATCACTAGACTTTCAGCTAGGAAATCCGAACAGATGAAAAGTTTTTAGGGGATAAAAATATGCTTATATCTACCGTTTAAATACTAAAATACGTTCAACAATGCTATGTTAAGTGGTTTTGAACTATATCCTCGTTGGGTGCCCCTGAACGATTACAAGAGCATCAGGCCATGAGTTTCGTGACCAAACTAAACTCCTGGCGAAGGAAACATAAAATTCGGCTAGATTCCTTCTTGTATTTATCTGGATTCACGGCAAAGATAAACGCGACCGTTTGCTCGTCCAGATTGTTCTCAGCGGAAATAGAGAGGCACCTTAGTACGAGTTAGATCCTGTAAATGCCATGTTTTTGAACTGTTTGTGTTCGAGCATATTTTTGGAAAATAGCAGAGTTTACTTTCCCTTTTTATCAACGGACTGCTTATAGTGGAGTAGTATACCAATGATGCTTGGTTCTGTTTTTCTCGACGTCGCAGTGATTCGGCACGTTCGAACAATTTTGCGCGATAGTGTATGTTTCCCTAAGATCAAAACAAAGACTTGATGTCTCTTGTTCTATCAGCATCTAAATTATAAAATCACTAGCGACAGACAAGTCTAATTGTTAATGATTTGAAACAGTCTTGGTCTTTATCTTCGGTCTAGCGTCTTTTGTAGCTCGTTTGTAAAATACAACTTCGATTTATTTTGTTGAATAAGACAATATGTTGTTGTTGAATTTTTGTTTGCGCACTATTTTATGAATGGCATGCGTTTTTACTCCAAAACTACAAGTTAAATTGTCGTCACAATTTTATTCTTGATCTAGCATAACCAGAGAAGAAACGTTCCGTAAATTCTATCAAAATATCCCTCATCTAAACCCATTTCGCTTGTTAACCTCTCTAAATTCGGAGCCTTGGACGTGACAGAGAACATGGAGAAAGTCACGCGTTAAAAACTACGGTGGCCCATAGAGGACACGATACTTACATTTTTATATCGCGCGATAATTTATCGCGCGATAAATTGAGAATTATCGCGCGCTAAATTCAAATTATCGCGCGATAAATCGAACATATCGCGCAATAAATTGAGAATTATCCCGCGATAAATCGAACATATCGCGCGATAAATTGAGAATTATCGCGCGCTAAATCGAACATATCGCGCGATAAATTTCAAAGGCACGGTTACACAGCTCTGCACGATGCCCGGGATGATCGCTTGAGTTGTGGCTGCGACTGTTGACGAGGTATGTGTCAGGTTTGATTTCTTCTCCATTGAAAGAGGTTCTTGGGAAATAATTTGTGTTTTTCTCTATTAATCTTACGTCCTTGTGACTGAATGAGAAAAACAGTCAATTTACTAATGCCTGTGATTGAACGAGCACGAGTTGTCTGATGCATTGGTTTCCCTGACTCCGAACAAACTTTACTGTCTAATTACAGGTTTGTAAATTTCTGGAGGAAAGATTTGTAAACGGAAATGTTATCTCCAGGTTTCGAGAACAAAAGGTAAGAAATACAGGATATTACATGGCCGTGCGGAGATATGAAATTTCACTCGAAGAGAAAATTAGCATCCCTAAGCGGTCATGTAATGTTCTATTTACAATTGCCGGATTTCATACCGTGAGGGCCTGGGTACGAGTCCGTGTATTATTGGATTATCAACACAAGACCCCTATATTCAGAAAGAGCACACCAAGCTTTACAAAATCCTCAAGTTTCGTATTAATTGGGTCAATACTGAACAAGATACAGCCACTCAAAATCTCAAAAAATTACTAAAAAATGTATGGATTGCCGGACACTTGTCTTTTCTTAGTAAATTTTTACGATTTTGAATGGTTGTATCTTGTTCAATATTGGCCCAATTAACACGAAACTTGAAGATTTTGTAAAGCTCAGTATGCTCTTTCTGAATATAGGGGTCTTGTGTTAATAATCCCATAATACATGGACTTGTACCCAGGCCCTCAAGGTATGAAATCCGGCAATAACCCAGGCGCTTCCCTAGTAAATAATTAATGAGTAAACAACTTGGAGATGACTGGAGACAAGTCAGCTATTTACAGGTATCATATAAACACTAATGTAAAAAACAAACCACTTCACTTGCACTGTGAAAGCGGGATTTATTATGTAACAAGACGCCTAAAGTCGTTTCCGTGGGATGTGTTAGTCTATGGAAGCATAATGGCGTTCTATCTAGGTTAATGGAAGAAAACAAAACAAAACATCCGCTTGCTTTATCCAGGTTCAAACCCAGGGTTACAAAGTTCCATAAAGTTCCAATGTTTTAATACAAGATGAAAGTTTAATATTCCGAGATGCTCTTGATACGGTTAAAATTAATTGCAGTGTGTGTTTCCAAGGTCTCAAAGTTAACATAGTTCCTATGATTATCCCTGATTCCAAGGTATAAGTTTACTCATGTCCTGATCCGTGTCCCATCCAGAAGTCCAATCCATGCCGAAAGCCAGTCTTCGATCGACCAGGACAACATTTTCGCGATTTCAACGCCAATCGTCAAGGGTACGAGTTGAAATTTACGCGATTAAACCTCCCATCATCAAAGTGTTTTCGATAAGAAAAGAAAAAAAACTGAACTGTAGCTGTGCTCGGCAAAAAATGGCGAACTCCCGGGAACTCCGAATAGAAAAATCTATCGGAAAACACGGCCCGCAACCAGACGCTACTAAAACCTTATGAAAAAGCTACACCTAAACAAAAAAGAATCATGAAGGAAAGAAATATTTTGGCTTAGGTCGCCTTTCGTGACTTGCCAGTATCCCGAAGGATTTTGCTGGTTAACAAGCCACCCTAAACCACGAGTGGGAAAACTCAAGCGCGACAAATTTGGCAACGTTCTGATTTCAACGTTAAAGGTAGAATAGAATCATGGGTAACCATCATCAATGTTTCAGTGGACACTAGCAACGCCAGCACTGACGATGTTTTAAAATTTTCTTTTCCTAGATGGACGGGTCTGCAGTGCTTTATTCTCCCGAATACTTTCTAGTTGAACTTGGACTAGAGACGAGGGGCGACCTGTACGCTCTACGTTCATTTTGTGAAAGAAAAGAAAAGCAGACAAAAAGCAAAGATGCTGAAGAACGAAAGCAGTCCTTAATTGACAAAATAAGGTGCAAGAAAGTAAAGCACTCAAGTGGCCCTGAGTCGCAGAAGAAAAATACGCCCTCTAGCTCCTATGGTAAACCGCGAAAATTTGAGTTAGGCTGGCAGCATTTCTCAGAAGTCCAGAAAAGGTTTGTTGCTGTTCGACAGTCCAGAGGAGGGGGGACAAGGTCTGTATCGATGTCAGGCAACAGTACCATTTCCGACATTCTAGAGGAAGCTCGGAACCTGTTTTTCCCTCAAGGAAAATCAGTATATGGAAATTGGATGGACATGGATTGCGAGTTAGCAAACTTTAAGGGTGAAGTGAAAACAAGCATAACCTCCCATGAAAGTAATGTAATGGACTTCTCTCTTCAACCATACTTCGCACTCCACAAGCTCACTCGTGTCCGCCTGTATCTGAGGACGCGGCAAAGAGGAACATCATCCATCTCAGTTGAGGAGGGGGAACCGGAAGCCGAGTCGGAGACTCTTGGAGTGCTTAAAGGAAGCTCGCGTGAAAGGGCCAAACTGAGAGAGGAACAAGACGGAGAGTATGCGGAAAGCCTGCGCGCGGACCGCGCGAAAACGGAGCGTAGGGAACAAGCCCTTAAGGAAGAATTAAATAAAGCAAGAAAGGTCGAAGAAATTCACGCCGCTCGCTTGTCAAGAGTGTTAGACGAACCAACGGTAGATGAACCGCGTGTGGTTGTTCGTGTCCGCCACATCGACTTGGGCTTGGTCAATCGTGCGTTCAAACCCAACCAGAAGATGGCGGCAGTGTACGATTGGATTGGCTCGCTGCAGCTTATTCCGCTGTACTTCTCGTTATCCAGCACACCAGGCAATGTGATAGACCCGTCTGTGTCTATAGACTGCTCAGCTGACAAAGTGTTGTTTATGGAGCAGAGGGATGATCCAATACCATTGTCAGCAGATGACGATGAAGTTTCCTTTAAAGGGTTTGGCGAAATTGGAGAGATTGGAATGACTCCACCAAGTCGTATTATGGCATGGGATATTGATACCGATGAAGAAGGATGTTCAGCGTAAGTCCGTAGTTGGGGATATTGTAAAATAAACTCCATCAAGTTAAGGATATGATAGAGCATGCTAGAACATTAACCATTTTATTCACCAACCAAATACAATTCAAAAACTGCGGACTTTGGGAACAAGATTGACTTCAGTGTAGGTCACAATGATTCATGCACCTTTGTAAGTAAAGTGAAAAAGGTTGGCAAATTTACATGCTGATGGGTATATACTGACTTTTAAGCAGTGTAAGAAAACCCTTTAATTTGTCTCACTTACCAATATCTCAAAGTTTACCATTCATGTTATAATAATAATAATAATAATAATAATAATAATAATAATAATAATAATAATAATAAATAATATCACTCCCATTTGGTGACTGCGAACCTTTCCATTTACCTAAATTTGCAGCAGTGACATTTTGCCGTGGTATTTTTGTGACCAAGATGACGACAAAAAGGTCAGTGCAGTTTACATTGCCGTTATATTTCAGTGTTGAAGCTTCTTTATCGGTTTACACCTCTACTCCTGCATGTTCAGTCAATCAAAATTTATTGAAAGTCTGTTAATTAAGAACACTCTATGGTAGTTTAGAGGCAAGAGTTTTTGTTAAATTAGCTTGTACTACTATGCTGTCACACGACAGTTCTTGGTGGGATGACGCTTAGGATACTTATGCATGCAATCTACCCAATTTGCAGGAGCAGAGCGCTACTTGCACAAGGAAAAGCAGAAAGAGGACAATGGAAGACCGAGCGCGAAATTTTCGTCAGTACTACCTCCCAAAGTATTTGGAAGAAAAGGTCAGGGGAACTTAACTTTTGACTTTCTTTATTCTTTGCGGCTATTTACAACATTTACATCCTAGCTATATGACGTTGACAGAAAATCTAGTACAATAAAATTGGGCCAGGGAACAACTGAAAAATGTACGTGCGCAGTATGATAAAATAAGAGAGGAGTGTCCTTCACAGAAACCGGTTTCAACTAGAAAAATTAAACAAGTAGTTTCACTTTGCTTTTGACCTTTGCAAGTCTTTTTACTTAACACAAAACGCTTCATGTATATATATATATATATATTTGCTATATTCTCGCCGTGGGGTAATCTTCTATGCGACGTGATTTGATGTTTTGGGAATATAAACTCCGCCCACTTCATACAACTGTTGTACACGCAGGAACGCAAGGAAGCCTTATCGGTTTAAGAAAATGACATATTACTTTTTTCTTTTTAGACCGACATTGGAGATCCAGGTGATGAGGAGTTGGCGGAGAGCAACAATGAACCCCTTACCTGCATGGGAATTACCAACAATCAGGGCTCCTCTGATAACGTGGTGATCATTGAAGATGACTCCTCTAGGCCGGCGGTTGCGAACGTTATACCCCCCAGTAATGATTCAAGTGTGGAAACGGAAGTAAGCCACAGCTTAGAATCACAGCAAACAAATCGCAGGTAAGGTCCTACCTTGGGCTTGATTGTAAATTGATTTAATTAATCACAGGCTTCTGTGAGCCAACTAATTCATGCTGTAAGCGTATTATTAATAGCCTGTACAACAGGCGTTATTGGGCCGGGGCGCTCAGGTGGAATTTCCAGCGCGCGCGCGATGCGTGAGACATGCGAGGAGAGGGGAAGTAAGTAGTTATGGTTATTGTTTTTCTTTTCCCTTCCCTCGCGTGTCTCGCGCTTTACGCGCTGCCCCAAAACCCACCTGAGTGCTGCCTGTTGTGCAGGCTATATTATTTAGAGTTGAACAGTAGCGGTTACTGCTAGTTATCTGACATCTTAGTACAACCGAGCCATTGACAGCATACAACCTTATCACAATGTCATAAATTAGGTTACGGTAATGAAATAACCCTGAATGTCTCTCTTTTTGTTTTGGTTTCATTGCAGGGTTGTAAAGATAAGAAGAGTTCAAGTTATGGCGGATATGATTAGCCTCTTTAAAGATGAAATTGTAATGGATACCCCACTCAACGTGGTCATGATTAATGCTTTTGGGAAAGAAGAGGACGGCGTGGATAACAATAGTGTTTTCCTTGACGCTCTTTCCTCATTTTGGGCCGCCTTCTATGAATCTTGTACAAATGGGGAAGAGGAGAGAGCTCCCGTCATAAGACACGACTTCCAAGTTTCAGAGTGGGAGTCAATAGGAAGAATAATTGTCAAAGGTTACAAGCAAGTGAAATTTTTCCCTGTCAGATTAAACAGAGCCTTTATGACAGCCAGTCTCTTCGGTGAAAGCGCCATAACCAATGAACTATTGATAGACTCATTCCTGGCCTATCTCAGTAAAGATGAAAGAGAATTGATCAAGCTCGCTCTGAATAAGGGATTGGATAAGGAACACGAGGAGGAATGGCTGGAACTGTTGGATCGGTTTGGGTGCAAGACCATTCCCAATGCGGAGCAAGTCGGAGATATCGTCTTGGAGATAGCCCATAAGGAGTTGGTCCAAACGCCAAGATACATCATCGACAGCTGGAGTACACCGTTACTTGTGCTTCAGCAAGAATTTCAGTCACCAGATCTGCTTCAGCAGTTCTTTGAAAGAGGGAAACCGACCACTAAGAAGGTGATAGCACTTTTAGATGCAAATGCTGAAACCAATGCTCAAAGGGAGACCATGTCCTACCTGAAGCAATATGTACGTGGACTGGAGAGTGAGAAATTAACGAAGTTCCTCCGATTTTGCACCGGTTCCAATATGATGTGCGTGGAGAAGATCACCATCTCATTCAACACTTTGGAGGGTGCTGTTAGACGACCTGTGGCACACACTTGCGGAGCAGTGCTGGATCTCCCTACTACATATGCATCGTTTCCTTTGTTCCGCGAAGAGTGGAACAGTGTCCTGTCGTCTGAGTATTGGGACATAGATTTCCTTTAGAAAAGTAAACTGCACCGCCTGTTTCTTTAATAGTGTGCACACTGACTAATACCACTCGTTGTGTTATTTTAAAGTAATTATTCTTGTACGTTTTGTTATAACATTCAGGAGGAGCGAACAATGCTCTAAATGTTTCAAAAGGTTTTGTTGTTGAGATAAATTTCACCACCTATAGAGCACATTTTGCAACAGTTTCACCTCGAAATTTCTAATTTAAATGCCGCGAGTTCGAAGGTTCTGTAAACTGAAGACAACTAGCAGTCATTTCATCCACGACCGAGCTTGTTAGTGTCACGGGTCTATTCTTGCGATTTAGCGTCCCGAACTGCTTTTCATTTCTGATTTCAGAGAATTTGTGCTTTGCAAAACAGTTTGTGGCGTCAAGTTAGGAATAGACCATGTCTCTCACAACTCAGGCTTAGTTAAATGAGTGCAAGTTTTCCTAACCTTAAATAACTTGTGGGATATTTAAAAAGCAAAATGGTAAACATAAGTTTGCAAAAGGTGAAGGGATTAGTCTCAAAAACGAAAAACATTTAAGTTTAGGTGCACTTTCATAGTTGATGTTTGCTTGTAGTTTGAATCAGTTACTTTGGTTAATGGTCATAATCCCCTTTTACTGTTTTGTCAGTGACAAGACTCAGTTCACGATAACAAGGAATGACTGCGTGAACTAGTTGTTCCTATTCTGCCGGAAATGTCACATGGATTGTAGTACATGTAGGTTTGAATTCCGCGTGTATACTCTTTTCCTTACACAAAGTTAACGATTTCTCATAATAAACAGAGTTAAAAGTTTTTCCATGATACTTAACGTCTTCTCTCAAATCAGTTAATTAACCATTGAAAAACTGCTGAATCACTCCCCTTCTGAGATATATCTGGACCTCGATTTTATCCTCGGTCTTTTAGCGAGAGTCTACTTAATCAAGTATTTTCAATATGGTAAACAAGATCCACAAAAAGGTCACGTGCTTCTTGAGCATTTGTAGGAATTTGTAAATGTTGCTCTTGCATTATTATGTCCACTAATTCTCTACACTCGTCTGAGCAATGAGTTGGGCTTGTTCTGTCACAGCATACATCTTCAATTATGTCAATATCATCAAGATCGACCTCTGTCATGTAATCCCTTGTATCTGTCCATAATGGCACGAAATAGAGTATATCTGGTCGGCCAGAAGGAGATTCTGCTTTGTGGGAAGGTCTAATATTGTGCAGGTTCCATTGTTTTGCTACTGTGTGAAGCTCTTGTTGCATTAGGGGCATAAAACAAAATCTCAAGCAATCAACGTGAATTGGGTCATGGTCGCAGAAGACACCTTCATCTCTCATGTCCTTAAAAAAATCGATCCACCAGCTAGCGTTACTTTTCTTCAGAAATGACCACCAAGCTTCTATTCTCTGATTGCTTACCGACCTTCCGTACAGGAAACTTTTTTCTCCGGAGAATGCATCTTCAGTTCCTGACCGCAGAAATCGTTGTATACCTGCCACAGATATATTTTCTGTTCCCGCATCGGCTCGCACTATCCTCGGAACTCCACCTATTTGGCGAATACAGTCAGTAAAATAATTGGCAATTATTTTTGGATTGTTGTTTGTGCAACCAACTTTTGACCAAAGAATGCGTCTGCTATAACCATCTATGCCTCCATGTATACAAAACCCAAACGGTTTAAGTTTATCATAGCCATCTATGTGCCAAATATAGTTAGGCCCTTTTGCACGGTATTCTCTTCTCCTGAATCTCTTTGACGATCGTGCTTGTACTCCAACAGGGTCCAATTCTTTGATTATTTCTCGAACGATTTCCTTTTGGACAACGAGACCGTAGTCGTTCCTTAATCGCTGGTGCATTTGACGGTATCCAATTCGGTTTCCACTTCCCTCAAGTTCAGTTTCTATGGTATTAATAACTTGTTCGATATCACTGTGGTCTTTCCTTCTACGTGGACCCTCACGTCTCAAAATTCGTCTGAGCTGACGCAAGCTCAGTTGAATTCCATGAAAAGAGAGCAGAAAAGCCAATATCTCGGAGTACTGAAGACCAAGGCAAAAGTAATGTTTAATGAGGTCGGTCCTCTCCACAATTCCGATCAACCTGTTACCAATGTAAGAGGGTAATACAGCGCTGGATACTTGACATACGACAAAAAGTATCAACAGTTCGATAGCAGACCTTAAATGGACCGCCATCTTGGCAACAACGCCGTAAACAACTGAGTGAAAAAAATGTTTGTCACTTTTTGGCGTGACTTATTATCGCGCGATAATTTGAATTTATCGCGCGATAATTTGGATTTATCGCGCGATAATCTGGATTTATCGCGCGATAATTTTCAATTTATCGCGCGATAATTTGGATTTATCGCGCGGTAATTTGGATTTATCGCGCGATAATTTGGATTTATCGCGCGATAATTTGAATTTATCGCGCGATAATTCTCAATTTATCGCGCGATAAACTGTGTTTTTATCGCGCGATATAAAAATGTAAGTAGCGTGTCCTCTATGGGCCACCGTAAAAAAACAATAGAATTTTGACAGTTGAAAGTAATTTGCATAACCTCAGAGCGCACACGGAGAAAGTCACGCGTTCAAAACAATAGAATTTTGACAGTTGAGAGTAATTTGCATAACCTCAGAGCGCATGCTCTCCAGCTGACATAGCCCCTTTAAGATGCCCAAGGTCCGTATGAGCGGATGCCTCGCTTTTAAGATGTGTGGGAATGGCAGAGACGAGCTGATAGTAATACAAAAAGTTGACTGTAATGTTGTATTTGACACCAAATTCTTCAGGAGAAAGGTAATGGTCCTGATCGTTCAGCAAGTCCTGTATAAACATAACATTCTTGTCCCGCCAAGCCTTCTAATAGACCGGGTTATTTCAATATTTACGTCCTGCATGTTATTCCACAAAATAAATTCACGTTTCAATGGATCTTCACAATTGCTACGACGCAGTTCTTGAAAATATTCGAGCAGTTCTCAGTAAAACAGAGGAATTTTCTTGTCTAATTTGTCAGTACTATAGTTGCAACTAAGTAGAAACAACAGTCCACCATATTTTTCAAACTGGTGGTTGGGGATTGCCGTCCAATCATCATTGGGGTTACCTAAAAGTCTGCTTATCCAACTAACACGAAGCGCTTTGACGGTAGTCCTGAAGCAAGGGAAGTTCAATCCACCTTTGGATAATGGGCGGAGAAAAACCAGTCTTTTGATCTGATCTGTTTTATTTTTCCAAAGAAATACACATAGTATTTTTTGCGTCTACAGAATAACTGTTTCTGGAACAGAAATTATAGATGCAGTGTAGATTAACTGGGATAATCTCTCTCGGCGAGAGATATCGCTATTCTTCCGCACAACGTTAAGTCATGCGAGAGCCAAATATTGAGCTTTGCTTCCATTTTTCTTATTTTGATATAAAAATTGTTGTTATCATTTCCAGCTTCATCATGGGAAAGGAATGTTCCAAAAAATTTGATGGGGTCTTTCGGACACTCAAATTCTAAAGGTTTGGTCTTGTTTTTGCTCGAAGTACCGATCCACAAAGCTTTGGTTTTCTTTTGGTTTAATTGCAAGCCGGACCATACTCCAAATGAATTCACTATGCTCATCGCATTTCTCAGTGACCTGGTATCTTCAAGAATGAGTGTGGTGTCATCCGCAAACTGTGAAATCTTAGCATTTTGTCCATTTGGGAGCTCAAATTCCACGGCAAATTTGATCTTGGCGTACTTTAAGGGCCACCATTTCAACCGCTAATACAAATAGAGGAGGGCTCAATGGACACCCTTGGCGAACTCCTCGGGAAACTTAGTAGTTTGTCATAAAACCCGCATTCATAACGCCGCTTTCAACATTGTTATAAAGAATGGAAATCCATCTCCTAATATTTGGGAAGTTGTATAGTTCGATACACTTATGAATAAAATTCCATTCGATGGTGTCAAATGCCTCGCGAAAATCAATAAAGAAAAGAATACCTGGGAGTTTCTTGGATTCGGTATATTCCATAATGTCATTAAAGAGTCGAACATTTTGTCCAATAAATCTTCCCTTCAAGAAGCCCGTTTGATTAGAGTGAATCAGCAAGAAGAGTACTTTCTCAGCTCTTCGGCCAAGAGCTTTTGCTAAAATTTTGCAGTCAACGTTAAGGAGGGTTAGCGGACACCAATTAGTCAACTCAATAAGGCAAGAATCGTCTTTCGGTATCAAACAAATAACTCCACGCCTCTGAGATATTGAAAATTGCGGCATGCCCTTTGTTGAAAGCTTCATTGTATGAATTAAGGAGGTGTAAGCCAATCAGGTCAAAGAATGTTTCGTAAAATTCTTTGGAAAAGCCATCCACACCAGGGGATATATTGTTTTGAAATGACCTCAAGACAGTTTTCTATTCAAGAGGTGTCAGATTTGATTCAAGAGCCGATGATTCCTCAGGTGTTAATTGTGGAATTTGTAGATCCGCGACAAAAGCATTGAATTCCTCATTGAAATCGATGGGATTTGAAGAATTTGTTTCTAGTAGATTGCTATGAAATGATTCTATTTCCTCGTTAATTTGTTTGATGTCTGAGATAATTTCACCATTCTCGAGTTTCAATTGTGCGATGACTTTTTTCTCATAGTTTCGCTTTTCTAAGTTAAAGAAATAATTGGTAGCTTTTTCACCTCTTTCAATCCATCGAGCTTTTGAACGGAACATAGCTTCTCCTAGTTTTTCGTATAGCTCCTTAAATTCTATGTTGATGAATTCGTTTTCATCCAGCAGAATTTGATTGAAGGAGTCATTTCTGAGACATATTTGTATAGGTAATAGCATGATTGGTAGAGATATTTGGCATAAATACCACAAGTGATATTTCGAAATTGTTATTCGTAATTTCACGAGCCATTAGGCGAGTGAAATTTAAGACAATTTTGAAATATCATGAGTGGTATTTATGCCAAATGTCACGTACAAATCATGCTATTATTTGTTTATACTACTACCCACAACACGTTTGTAATTTTCACAAGTAGGTATTTCAAATTAAGCTGAAATACCACTGCTCTCAGCCAATCAAATTGCAGAAATTTCTCATGTAGTAGTATGATATAATTAATAATCAATTGAATTACACAAAGAATGGTCCAGTTTTGCTATTTAACACTATATTTAGGCATTGAAACTGTTTCCTGCCATCTGTTGCTTATAAGGATGGTAAGGATGGACATTGACTGAAACTTAAAAAATCGTTTTGAAGCTATGCCTACAAAAATCAGCAAAAAACTATATTTAACAATTATTCCTCGTGCTCGAATGGGCTCTGAGTCAATAGCCCATGAGGCCGAAGGTCGAATGGGCTATTGACTCAGAGGCCATGAGGGCGAGAGGAATAATTGTTTTAGTGAAATCCAACTAGTTGGTCAAAAATATCGAGACAAAACAACTTTAGCTATAGTTAAAGCTAGAATTTAATCCTTTTTTGCCCCGCAAAAGCCGGCGCTTTCCACTACTAGTGGGCTACCGTAAAATTCCGAAAGTAAGCCCCTCCGTGTGTATAAGCCCCTCCAAATGTAAGACCCCAAACTCGTAACGCAAAAAACCCTCCGTTACATCGCCTCTCCAAGTATAAGCCCCCCCTCCCGGGGGCCTTGTACTTTGAAATTGCCCTCAAATACAAAGTAAAACAAAGCAAAAACGGTAAATTTTCTTCCAACTATAAGGTTCGCTAGCCCAATCAATTTTGAAACGCAAAATTCCCTCCGTAGATGAGCCCCTCGGAATATAAGCTCCTCCAAAAATAACCCCCTCAAAAAGGGCCTTTGAAAAATAAAAGCCCCGGGGCTTAATTTCGGAATTTTACGGTATAACATATAGCCTAGTAGTAGCTCAACCAATTAGAATGCAGCATTGATAATAGACCACCAGTTGGATTTTACTAAAAGGGTATAGTACTCACTGATGAAATTTGTTTGATATCATAACTCTACAGGAGCATTTTGTGGTTGGGTAAGGGCACTAAGTGATGACTTCAGCACAGAATTAAACACCTAAAACAGCGATATCTCTCATGCAGGGTTCATACAAAAAATTGCAACTATTTTTCAAGGACTTTTGAAGGACTTTTCAAGGGCCACATTAGATTTTCAAGGACCACCAACCAGGAATATACTTTCACAGATTGTACATAAATACAAATTCCCAGTTTATTCTAATAAGGCTTAAAGGCTTGAACAGTTTGCTTCACCGACTTCTTTACATTTTTCAGTTCACTTGTCTAAAATTGATAGTTAATTTTTGCATAAAACATTGAGCACTTTGTGTAAATAACCTTTTAATTCTGTGAGCTATGGTTTATATTCTGTCTTGGACAACTAAAAAGTATCAAAAAACACTTTCAAGGCCACTACATTTTAAGTTGAAGAAAATTCAAGGACTTTTCAAGGACTTACACAGAAATGTAAGGACTTTTCAAGGAAAAACGGAATTCAAGGACGTTCAGGACTGTGACTGTGCGAACCCTGTCACGGCATAGCCCCTTTAACACCCAGCATCTCTTATTGATAATAAAACAACATGCTGTACTTACCTTTCTGGCACTGCTCAGGAGGGGAAAATACCAGGCACCCAAAATACTGCTTGATATTATAATCAAGAAGTTTTGAGTGCTGCTGTAATGCGCAGATGGGAGCGTATGCCAGACAGAAAATAAGAGCATATGCACACATGAGAATCACCAGTCGCTTTACGACTGTGGTCATCTTTTTCTTCCGCTTTTCAGATTGTTCTCCGGTAACTGAAGTGGTAGTACGAAACTAAAATAATAAACGGAACAACAATAGAGTGAAAATACTGATTAGTATTTTAACAGCTACATATTCGGTGGACTGGGGCAATCCTACAGTGGGAAAAATTATGTTAATTTTAACCGAGAAATTTAGTTTAGAGCTGCAAATAACCGAGTTGGTCATCAGACATTATCCGACTAAAATTTGTCCACGATCTGACAAAATCCTTCCTGCAGTTAATGACTGGGCAGATCAAATACCAGAAGACTGCCATATGAAGCATGGTGACCTGTATGGACATACAGTTTGTATTCCTTTCTAAAGAGAAATTATTTGCAGCTCTGCAAAGTGATACCAAATGATAAGATTCGCTGAACTGCCATGGGTGAAGTGAAAACGCCATTTTATACTAAAACAGTGGATAGTGTTTTTCGCACGCTCTGATTCGCTACTCAAACAGTGAATATCCAATGTTTGTATAATTACATTTGATGATCATCGAAAATAGAGCGCTATGATTGGCTAGATGCTTCGCTTCATCCCGCTATAATCACCGCGCGGTTATTATAACATTGAAGGCTCGCAGTTTTCAAAATGGTAGCCAGATTTGTTGATGTTTTGGAGTCGGAAATTGATCAATAATTTTATTTTCTCGAATAATCAATCATATTGCTTAAATTGCCAAGATCACTAAGTGTGTATATTCTAATTAACAATTAGTTGCCTCAGGTGACGTGATATCGGCGAATAGTCACCGAAACGAAGTCGAGGTGACTATTCGTCGATATTCACGTCGCCTTCGGCGACTAATTGTTAATTAGAATATACACACTCAGTAATCTTGGCGATTTAAGCAATCTGATTGGTTCGCTATCTCGGGCTATTCAACAATATCCACCTCCTAGTGAGTGGATAATTTGTGAGCTCGGTGTTTTTGCCATTTTTTTAAAGAACGATCTTTTAAAAGTCGACAAAATCCTAGGGTTGACTTTTTTAAGGCAAGAAAAGACTTCGAAGGATTCAAAACGGCATTTTTCCATTTACTGTGGCTGAGTTTTGTGCTCGACGGGTTGTTTACAACTCCCGTTTATTCGCGTAGAAGAGGCCGTTTCGTGAACTCACCGTTTCAAAACAAGAAACATTTGGCCCCAAAATCGAAGTTTATTTATGCAAATAAATTTGAAAGCAAATGTTTGCAGAAATTCTACGTTTCAAGTATATAGGAAAAAGAATGCTACAGAAAGACGTCGTCTTACCTCGAGCAACCGAGGCGCCATTTTTGTCAGCACTTCATGCGAAGAACTACACACCAAACTTTTTTGGCTATAAACTGGGCGAGTCAACAGAAAACAACAAAGCTCTACTTTTCCTCTAAAATAATGAAACAATTCAAACTTCTAACGGTTCCATTTAAGCCATTACGCTGTTGTTTGCGAAGTGATAAACTTGTGAATTGCCATGTTTGAAAAGCGAGCGACGCCAAACTCGCGTAAGTTACGAGCAAAATGGCTTCCCGGTTTGCTGCCGTAACAAACAAAGAAATTTCACAAATAATCAAGCAAGCTGTTCCCGAAATATACGAAGAAGGTGACGAAGTTCGGTTTGGAAATTTTACAGGTAAAGCTTTGCCTTCTAAACTTGAATCGATGAAACCGGTGAAAAAGTTTTTTGTTTACAAATTCAAATTAAGCTTAAGTCTTGCGTTACTTTATTTAGTCGACTTTTTCATAAATAAGCTTAAAACTAAATTTAATAATCTTTTTTACAGAATGATTTTAATTACAACAAGACGCTACGGAGCGTACACTTCGGCGTCGTGGTTGTGGAACTAATTAACTGAAAATGCGGAGGAGTAGTAAGAAATCAAATATGGTAAGCGTAAGGTGTTAATTTGTGACATTATGGGATTTGTCAGGATATTCTGAAAAGAGCAACATCCAAGAGGCCTACTTGCCAAAAACTAGGATTTCGGGGCAAATTGTCTGCGAGATATTAGCCCAGTTATGCTCTGATGACTCCATACAAATCCTTCTAAAAAAACAATTCTCTATTTTTCTTAGTCACATCAGGCTTCAAAAACAGCATAGCAGTCTCATGTACTGATTAAAGATATGTAAGGCATGGGTAAGGAGTCAGGGGCACCCAACGACAATTTTCGGAAAATATCTGTTCGGAAGACGATTTGAGATCTAGAATTTTCGGAACATTTTTTCCAAAATTTCTTGCTTGTCTTCCTCTCCTAGGATTTTCGAACATCTAAAAAATGGTATAATTGCCCATTTTTAACCGATTTTTACCCTAAAAGGGTCACCTACAATTTTCGGGAGCCTTTTTTCTGGCTGAAATTTTCGAAAAGGTAAGTTTTGATCCCTATAATTCTCGAATCACTAGACTTTCAGCTAGGAAATCCGAACAGATAAAAAATTTTAGGGGATAAAAATATGCCTATATCTACCGTTTTAATACTAAAACACGTTTAACAATGCTATGTTTAAGTGGTTTTGAACTATATTCTCGTTGGGTGCCCCTGAGGAGTCAATTACGTTGAGCATGGAATTGGCTAAAACTCAAAGTCACGAGTTCGAATGTTTTGAGGATAATTATTCACTGACTATCAGCACGCAGGGATGTCGGATTAACACAAGGAAGTTTAACACCAAAGGAACATAGCCTTTACAGAGCTTTAAAACACAGCATCCACCAACACAAACTTGACTTGAACTTTGAGTAAACTAAACAGCCTCTACCAATAATAACAAACTGTCACTTGAACTTCAGATATTTTACGGCTTCCGCGAACTTGTAAACACAGAACCTGAAAATCGACCTTCGTCACACTTGACTAAACACAGCAGTCCAGCTCGTGGGAAAAAAACTTAGGGCCTGTTTACATGGAGGTGGGGGACCCCAGGTAGGTGAGGTAACCCGCTTAGGTGAGGTAAAAAAATAACCCCCCTTTACATGCAATCTTACAACCCCGCCTTCCCGGGGTGTACTTTCTCAAGATTATTGAATGGTCGCTAAGCACGTAAACAAGAAAAATGCTGGCAAACCACGAGTTTTGGCGATTAATGCACTTCTTCACTCACTTGTTGCCCTTGCTGCAACCCGTCAGTGCAATAGCTTTCTATTGTTAACTTTAATCATAATGCAAAGACACCGCGAAAGTGAATTTTGCGCGAATTTGATGTATCCCGAATCCGACCCCGGCCAGGCGGGTTACCCCACCTTGAAACGTTTACATGACAAATTGTGACCCCGGCTGAGAGGGTAACCCGGTCTGGTAGACCGGGCTACCCGCCTTGGCGGGTCACCCCACCTATCATGTAAACGTGATCAAATGAAAATGAGAGATTATATGGACAGGCGGGTTACCCCACCTAAGCGGGTTACCTCACCTACCTGGGGTCCCCCACCTCCATGTAAACAGGCCCTTAGTTCGTCAAAAGAACTCGCTTGGAACTTGTATACCGTTTGACATAAGGTTCTAGAAAATACTAAACAGGCGAATAGTAGTAGCTTTTCGACATATTTTATGATTTCAGTAACTGATGCAAATCTGCTGACTCATGCTAAAATGTAAACATGCCCTAATTAATTATTCATGGGTAATCCAAAAACGTAGAGAACGTTCGAGAAAGTCACGCAACGCATGAAAGCAATTTTACTACATAACACTCAACAAAGACAAAATGTCTTTGTGCAGCATTTTGAAACTTTAAATTCATCATAAAACAGTTCGAAAGGAGGGCTCACTCGTGAAATGTTTTTCAACACTCGAAGAGAAATTTCGTGTCTCTGCGCGGCCACGAAATATCCTCTATTTATTCCTCGAGTAATTAAAGACTAAACTCGAAGTGATCATAAGATATCGCGAAGTAGTCCGGTCTCATTTCGTGAAATAGTTGAAACAAGCCGAAAAGTCACGAACTTGCTCGCCCAATCTTGTCCCGAAACTAGTGCATCATTTGATAACTATTTTTCAAGCCCAAATTACCTTGCGTCGCAGTAGCGCAATCGGCTAATCCCTCATCTTAAAAGAGTCTCCTCTGATCTGACGGGTCACACAGGTGAGTCGGTTCAAACCCCGGGAAAGCCAAAATAATAATTCTTTCTTCTTCGAAAAAGTTAAAGAATAAATCAAAGAAATCGAAATGACCTCGAGATATCTCGAACTAATTCGGCTCTCACTTCGTCAGATAGCCGAATAGAACCGAAAACCTACAGACTTTGCTTGCCCAGTCTTGTCAAAAAAATGCAACTTTGATAAATTCCTGAGCGTCGCGAATCCTTTACTTCGCGCTCCGCCGAAGTAAAAAGAAATCACAACTCCTTTTGAAGAAATTTCCCTGCAAGATCTAAACAAATGTCTTCAAAAGTTTTATTTGTCGGCAAGAAAAATCGACGGCCGCGGCCGTTCGGTCATTGCGCGCCAAAATTCTAGACATTGGCAACAGTAAATGAGTTAAGTAAACATCATCATTTTTGTGCTCAATTATCTCACTGTTTTAGTATATACTAAAACAATCATTCACCACTAGCCACCTCCATTTCGGTGAATAATTGTTACATATCATTGTAACATAGCCCCTTTAAGTATGTCCCAAAATGAATGACGGTGCGTAATTTCAATGTCCACTTAAAGTAAACATCTTACCATGAAAAGCTTATAGGCAACTAGAATCAGGCAGGTGCAGCCAACACCCTGTGCAATCTCGTTTAAAAATGTGGTTGTAAAGAACCCTGTGTCTGTTCCACCAGGAAAGCAGCTGCGCATGTTCACTACATCATACTTCGTTGTTTTCGAGCCCAATACAACGCCAACAGGTATACAAGGCAGCAACCAGCAAATCAAGGAGCAAACAATATGTTTCACTCTGTATTGATGACCCTGAACACTGACAAGGCTATCAGAGTACATCATCTGCAAGAAATAAGAGTTGTGCAGTGCTGAGTTAATTATTGGAGGGTGTCAGTGGTTGATAAACAATTTTAAAAAAAAACCCAAATCCCCTTAGCTGGTAGACAACAATTCATATGAAGTGCATTGATTTCATAACTAGAGCACATCAATAACCTATTATTTCTAGTACATTTACGCCTCCTTCAAGATAAACCATCTCCTTAAGACATTAAGCCTTGCTGTCCTAAAAGCGGCCAAAGAAAAAATTCACAAAAAATAATATTGTTAAAATTTCTTTTCGAAAAAATTGGAAAATAAATAATTATGGAAATAAATAGTTTTATGCAATAGTTCTGCCAGGGAGGTTTAATTTGTATAGGTAATAGCATGATTTGTAGTGATATTTGGCATAAATACCACGAGTGATATTTCAAAATTGTCATACGAAATTTCACGAGCCGTTAGGCGAGTGAAATTTGAGACAATTTTGAAATATCGCAAGTGGTATTTATGCCAAATATCACGTACAAATCATGCCATTTTGTTTATACTACTACCCACAAAAGGTTTGTAATTTTCACATGTAGGTATTTCAAATTAAGCTGAAATACCACTGCTCTCAGCCGATTAAATTGCAGAAATTTCTCATGTAGTAGTAAGTGGTAACACCATCAAATTTCATCTACAGATGTAAAAGTTAGAGTGACAAATAATCTTGCCATAATGTGGTCAAGGAGTGAAAAGGTTAAAGCTTCAACCAAATACAGTGCAGCCTAATGGGAGATAAATAAAAATTTAATAATGTACATGCATCCCATGCTTGCCCTTGGTCCACAACAAGCCTTGGTACAAGGTAGAAAGCTAGGAAGATAACCAGGTTCAGTCAAATCATGGTATGTTTTTTTTCTTTCACCTGAACTAAGTTGATGCTGTAAACTAAAAACCACAAGGCCAGTGCTATTGAGAAATAATGAATCAATATTCCTTGTGCTCTGCAAAATGTGGTAGGATTCTCCTGAGCTTCAGACAAAAATCTGCTGGTACAGAATGCCTTCTCTCTTCCCACTCCATTAGCTACAGCAAGAAGGAAAGCTAGATAGACAACAAAGAAATCAAGGCTTAATGTTTATTGCAGCATTGATTCTTAAAATTGTAACCCAGCCCACTTTCAAATACTAGCTGCGAGTGCTAAAATAAACTAACAGAGAACACGCAGAGTCGCCGGCTGGTAGAGTTTAGTGTCGATTAGTGTTTCAAATGGCTAAAATTGACCCCGTTTCACCTTTTTACCCCAACTCTTTTATTGAAAAAGGGAACTTTGCAATGGGAAAACCTACAAGACGTACAAAAAATGAGCCTTTAGGCTGTAAATATCTACTTCAGTTTGATGGTGTCTTACAGAGATTTCCTTCAATAACCCAAGCCAATTCCCAGATATAGCCTGCGAGCAAGCTCTCCTATTTGGGCGAGCGAAGCGAGTCTCGCAAGAATGCGCAAGCGAGCGTTCTCGCGAGGCTCGCTTTGCTCGCCCAAATAGGAGAGCTTGCTCGCAGGCTACCCAGGTATGTCTTAACGAACTTAAGTTTTTGTTATCCTGAAAACCTATCCATCATTTTTGAATTATTTCAGTACGACGAGCTTCGCTATTACCCTGAAAGTATCTTTTAGTGGAAGAGAAAGAAATTTTCTGTCCATGAAAAGTGTCCAAATTTCTCCATGCTGCTTTGTTTGCGAACGCGAGGAAAGTTAATGTTAGCGAATTTCAGGTTAAAAGTTAGGGCATTCTGAGACTCCGACATCGAAAACCGATCTTCCAATTTTTCTCACAAATAAGGCAAAACTCCAAGGTCAAGAATGAGGATTCACAGTAAGCTTCAGTACTGACTGGATGATTTTTTTCTATCTAGAAAGGGGTGACAGGAGCCTACCTACAGTGTGTTAAATAATAACTGAGGTGGTTTGCACTTTAAGATGTAAATTTAAAATAAATGAAATTCAAATCTGACAGTCTTTAGTTCACAAGTTAATAAGAACTGGCTAATAATTATTTTATTGTCTTTACAATAGTCTTCTTTGTTTTGTAATAGAGCACAAAAAGAATGGTGGCACCAAGCTAAGGAAGGTGTCACATGACTTTTTGCATTCTGAACAGTCTGACTGTAGCTACCCGGTAGCATTAATTCTGTGGCCATATTAACATTTCCACACAAAGCTCTATAAACTTGGGTGAAACACTGCTTTTAAAAACTCAAACAAATGAGAAAAACTGTACAAACCTGAATTTGAGAGAGATTCTTTGTGTACTTATCTTTTATCATCTTTTAGATTCTTAACTTTACTGTTTAATTGTTTTTTACAATTTTCCATTCTTATTCACTTGTAACTGACAGTCTTATGCAAATATCAAAAGTAAAAAATATTTGACAGCTTTAAACATAAAGTGTCAAAAGCTGCAGCGTCCAGGACTTGTTTCATTAAAAATATTGACAAAAATTTTATTAAATAATAAACCATGCCGCATACTTACCAATGGCTGCAGAAAGGCCTTGAATATAAAGTGGAATTATATGGGGAAATAATCGCCTGCCAACAACATAAGAATGAAAACAAAAAGATTAACCCTTTAAACCCTAACATCAAAATTCAAATTCTCTTTTGTTATCCCTATGCGTTTTCAGTAGAAGTAGTGGGGAGAATTTGTTGAAGTATCAATTAATTAGATTCACCTTGTGTGATCATGTCCTTAATTCTCATGACCACTCTGTTTTATAAAGCAGTGATATTACAAGGAGAAATTTGATGTTGATCACTCTTAGGGCTTAAAGGGTTAATCAATGAATGAAGTACATGTAGCACTACAGATACTGAACAAAAACATCAAGAATGTATAAAATACTGCATCAATTAACTTAGATAAAAAAAATACCTGCATGACTGAAAACATTATAACAGTGCAACATGCCTTAGAATGGCCACCCAGCCAGATCAACAAAGATTCAAGACTGCACAATTTATTTTTTCCATAGGCAGGCATCCTTGCAAAAATAAGCTACATTTGACTTGTAAGCAACATGAAGATATTATAGCACTTGAAAATTTCTAAATGTCACTGCATAAACTGTTGATTGGAATTCCTCTGGTAGATTAAAAAACTGTGCAGTTCTTTGAGGTAAACATTTATTTTTTAAGAGAATAATATTCTTCAAGGGTCAACATAGATTTCATGGAATTCTTGAGAGGTATAATTATTATGTATTCCCCACAACGTGGCTTTTGGGTTAGATGTACAGTACATTTCTGTTGATAAAAATGTCTAAATACAATTCTTACTAGAGGTATATATAATATAGTGCTCAACCCATTCGCCGCTGGAGACAGCGACTAACCCTTCGAAACACGTTTTGAAGCTATTTGAGTGGTTTTCTGGTCACTGTCGTGCTATTAAGAGCTAAAACTTGCCACAAAGCTGTTTACAGGTCGTACACTTGACGGTCTTCTGATCCAGATGCAAAATATTAGCTTGCGAAGTTCAGGAATGCACAGAAAGCAAAATTTCAAGATAGTTTTTGGGTTTAAAAGCGACACAGCGGTCTTGACTTTTCCTTTGGCTTTCCCTCCCCTCTTTTTCACTTTTCTTGCCTCATTTTTTTTTTCTCTTGCTGGGCTTTCAGTAGGCTTCATTTTGGTGGGAAAAGTTTAAATAGGAAAGCGATTAGGTTCTTACGATAAGATGAAAGGAAAAGTAGGTGGGTAGTGGAGGAAGATTTTCATGGAAATTTTCAGGTCAATGTTACATGGTTTTTTGCCTTTTTCTTCAGAGTCCTTGACTGAATTGTGCTCATTCTGGTATGGTTTGAAAGATCTCTTCACTCTGCACAAGTAAGCAGACAAAGTTGTCCTTGACCATTAAAACTGATGCAGACTAGAAAGGACGTGGATCTGCACGGGTGGCTCAAGGGTGAATGGGTTAAAGTAACTTGAGAAAGAGACTCATCATCTGAAAAATATCCCATTCATAATAATATTATTGTGCAATCACATGCATAATAACCTAATTAAAAAGAACCATCTCCCACAACGATTGTGATTTTCTAAGACTTACAGCTGTTTGATTCGGAGCCAAGTTGCTAAGATGATGACAAAACTCAGCAAACTAACAGCAATAGCAAAGTTGTCCACCACTTCCAAAGCATAATCCTCAGCAGGAGAGAAGAATACCCAAGGACAAGGAGGCATGCACATCTTTGCCTTGTCATTGTAAACAAGTGGTTTGTTACATGGGTACATTGGCTTTGGCATAATGCTAAGGAAAAAAAACAGGGGCTTTGGCATACATGCAATACTAAAGAAAAAAAACAGGGAGTAACTTAACTACATGAAAATAGAGAAATATCAATTCATGATAATGGTCAATGCTAACTGATTTATTCATATCAGAAATTGACGACCAATATTTTATTGATGAGGTTAAATTTTGTGACTTTAAACATGATGTCCATAATGAGGCTGCCCTCCATAAAAATGTTACATTAAGAAGTTTCATGTAATAGTTATATATGCAGTGCACATGGAATTCAAAGAAATGGGATCAGTTTATGTTTCGGGGCAACAAAATTTGAGACAGGTTCATCAAGTTCAAAATCTTTTCTATGCTTGTTCATCAAAGAAATGTGCCAAAATGCATATGTTGCATGTGCAGAGCTGTTGTTCTCTTCTGCTCATAAAACCAACATCTTCGCTCAAATTCTGTGTCTTTGGACTTTTTTACATCTACTCTTATGGCTTAATGGGTATTTCTTTTATTTTGTGATTAAATTTTGTTTTTGTGGGGGGATAACACATGTACTGACCTCATTTATTTGCACATAACAACTAGAAAAAACTCCCTAGCAAAAAATTAAAAACTTGTGATTCAGAGAGTTTAAACTTGCTCGCGAGAAATTATTGAAACCTCACCAGCAAGAATTTACATATAATAAAATTGAAACTGGCAGCAGAAACTTCACACTCGTGATAGAGAACTGTTAGCCTGCAAGCAAGCTCAGGGGCACTCTAGTGGCAGGGCGGGAAAAGAAAAGAGAGCTTGCAACTATGTCTCTGGAATTTGAATTCCACCTCCAACTCCCCTGTGGCTTCCCGATGACTGAGCTGTCAGATTTCCGCCAATCACCGCGAAGCGGAAACCAATATTGTATACAAACATTCAAAAACATGTGCCAAGGGTAATGACATCATTACCAATGCCATTTCCACCAATCATCATTTTGCACCAACTTTTTTGTTCCAGATATTCAAATTCCAGAGACGTGGTTGCAAGCTCTCCTTCCTTTTCCTGCCCTACCGCCAGAGAGCCTGGAGAGCTTGCTCGTAGGCTAGAGAACTATTGGATGTTACTAAAACAAGGACCAGGGAATGGAAGTCTGGGAACGAGTAGTCAGCAGTAGCCTCCACAAAAATCCAAAATGGCCAATAAGATGATAGAGAAGCATTGAAACAACAGAACCCTTAACACTGCTATCTGCTTGTGAGGTGCTTAAAATAACACAGAGGTAATAGCTTCATGATATTTTTTGCCTTTTTGAGTGTTAGGCAACATAAATCCGTAGGAAACAAAATACCGTATTTATTCGATTAACCGCCCTTGGTGCTTATTAAATTTTTGGACCTTGAGAGTGGGCGCTTATTCGAGGTGGGCGCTTATTAAATTTTCACCATTTTCGGCAAGTGTAGTACATTAATTTTGCAACAATACAATAAATGGTAAGAATAAAACACGAAAATGTAACAAAGCAAGGTTTCTGTAAAGTACTCTGAAGAAAACTCTGTCTTTGGGAAAGTCTCTTATTAGTACTTATTTAAGGTATTTTGAGTGGGAGGGACCAGAAAGGGGGTGGGTGCTTATTTGAGTTTGAGTTTGAGGGGGAGGGAGGTGGGGTGGGGGTGGGCACTTATTTGAGGCTGGGCGCTTATTAAATTTTTCTGCCTTCAGGTTGGGCACTTATTTGAGGTGGGCGCTAATTCAAGGTTGGGTGCTTATTTGAATAAATACGGTATGCTCCCACACAACAGCAGTTGAAAGATGCTAGTTGGGAGGAAGACTCTCAATAAGCACAGTCATATTTGGAACTCAGACAAATCTATCCTGGCAAACCTGTGATGGCAAGTAAATGCAAATTGCATTATTTAAAAAGATACCGGTTTAAGAAAAAGGATCAAGTTATTACATCAATAAAAGGTAACTTAAACATTGTGGCAGGAATATCAACCTTACCATGCTCTTAAAGAGTCAGTTATTTGAACCAAATGGCTATGCTGTGGTTTTATCTTAAGATTAATAAATTTAAATTTTTTCCCGTTGTTTTGGGGTATGGTAATATGAATTTTATGATTATGAGTTCAAAACAAAGGGAATAAAATGAAAACTTTGGATAAAAGCGAACTACAATATATAGCTCCATGCAGTATTAAGTGTTGCACGCATACATGGTGGAAGTACTTTGGTTGGAAGGTACCTTCTGAAGGCTGGCTGTTAAAATATGGCAAGTATATTTCCTCTGTTTAGCCCCCTGGGTGCTTTTTTCTGCAGGACTCATTTTAATATTTTGTAGAGGGGGGCTCTGCTTCTCTTTAATGAACATTATTTTACTGTTGAGAAAAATATCTCAAGCTCAGTGAAAAACTGAATGTGTCAAGTTATGACTTAAACCAGTTTGTCAAGCTGTTTTATTTGCTTGATTCAGTAATGTTGCAGTGCACCTACCATTAAGTATCAATGTTAGGGGTTTGCAGCTTATAAGATTTAAAAAAGAAGGTGGTTGACAAGCCTTCAAGGAAGCTGCCTGTAGTTTTGAAAATTAAAGAGTCTTAGGTCTCACACAAGTTATGGGTGGCAAAAGATTGGAGTGCCAAAACTCTTTCTGTAACTATACAACTGTATGTGTATATATATATAGTGGCCCCATTACACCTACTCAATGCTCTATGTACATGTAACATAACACAACAGATCTTGCAGGGGGCATATTTTCCTTAGACACATTTTTAATAGGCTTCTTAAAAAAGGGGCAGGGAGCTTAATTCCTTAACTAGTGAAACACAACACAGGTGTCCCAAGCTCACATTACGAGTGTCTTATGTAAATTAACTTTCTCACTAGAGAGTCAGTGTCGCGTTACGAGCAACCGTTGAGACTTTGTATGAGAAATAAAATAACCACCCTTGGTCGAGGGAAATTTGACCTCGGACCAATTGCAACGCCGTGTGCAGTTGCCATATCACAGTGTCTGGAGAAAGAAGGTATTTTGGACATGGCTAGAGGAAATGTTTATTTCCAGTGACATGCGTGGGGATATTTCGCTTTTAAACATTTATTGTGGTGCAACGATGATAGAGGTACGTACCAGAAAAATGCCTTTTAATGCCCTTGTTTTTACTTTACGCTACAAAGTAGAATTGGATTGGACACGTGCTATTCGACACGTGATAGCTCAATCCGTACAATTTAGTAAAATTGCCAAAAAATGAACATAGATTTGTGCCAATTTTTTTCTCACCGAAAGGAAGCACTGCCCTTACTAAAATCATGAAATAAAAAATGGGGGTCACCGTACTCATTTTGGCGGCAGAGCTTCAGAAAGTGCGCACCAAATGCATTTTCCTTGATGTTTGAGAGAGGACTGGGGGCGAGTTTCAAAAGTAGAATGTATGCGAAAGGGGGAAGAAAGTATTAAAAAATCCGTTTTTACAGAATTTACATCGAGATATCACATTTAGGACACAATGTGATAAAGAAAGCGTTTAAATGAAAATCAAAGTGAATAAGCACAAATTAAACATCCACTATCGAGGTTCTCCGTGAGGAAGTCGAACTCAGCAACACGCGTACTGCTTACGTTATGCACATTCCCACCACATTGAGTCTCACCTCGGCAAGAAACAACCGCAAGCAAAAATTGCAATAGCGTTTCTCTTCGGTCAACTTCATTTTAATAATGTTACCTCACATGCTCTTTTTTACGGAGGCCATCTTGTTATGCGCAGTAAGAGATTCGCAGTGCAAAACCAGGGAATCACCTTGAGCTTAACTAAAGAGAGGAATCAGACTAGGGTAACTGTTCAAATGTACCCCAGTGGGAGGGGGGTACACAGCGAAGTTTTATACAGAGAGGCTCTGCCCCAGGGTCCAACTCCTTACCCTTTTATATACCATTTTTTGAAAAATGGTACACCTTTCACAAACCTAATTTACATGTAGAACACTCACTCACTGCATTCCCTTAACTGCTGTAAATACACCGCTAAAACATTGTCATCTGCTCAAACGGCTCAGGCTATCCTTTTGAAGAAAATTGTCATCCGTTCGAACGGCTCGGGCTACCTGTTCGAAAAAAATTGTTATCTGTTCCAACGGCTTGGGATATCCATTCAAAAAAACATGACAGCCGTGCGAACGGCTATGGCTGTCTGTTGGAGAGAAAATTGTTGACCATTCAAGCGACTGGAGCTATCTGTTCAAAGATAAATTTTAGCAAGCTTCATTCCAAAACATTATTTTGTTGCCATCCAGTATCATCGAACAATCTGTTAATCCAGGTATTCTTGAGTAGTCACATTACAAAGTTTGTTTACAGATGCATCATGATAGTCATGAATCTTTTTCTTCTCCTTTAAGCCTGGTTTTCACTAGCACATGAGCATAAGCATAAGCACAAGCACATGTGTAAGCAAGTGAAAACTGGGTTGACATAAGCATAAGCATTAGCACAAGAAAAACGGACAAGGTCGTTCTTCTTATTCTTGTGCTTATTCTTAAGTTGTAGCTTTAACTAGTGAAAACAGGGTCGACATAAGCACGAGCATAAGCACAAGACCATGGACCAATCATAGGTCACTTTGACCCAGACCTCGTGCAACATATCAAAAGCAATATGGCGGACGAAGCGTCTGTAGTGGTTATCATTAGATCCCATTAACCTCAGCCCCTTTTTAATTTGGGCACCCCATGAAATTTACACAACGTAGTTTTGCCCTTTACTAATTAGGGTTAAGCACTGCTTTTTACAGATTAGGGTTAAGCACTGCCTCTACTGATTAGGGTTACCTAAGTACTGCCTTTACTGATTAGGGTTATACACTTTTTTGAAACTCAGGTTTGGTTCTTTTTTGGGGGTTGGGGTTGATGCTATATGTACTTAAATTATTACGCTTCCATCCAGCAAATCCTCAGTGGTCTAGTGGTTGGTGTAGTATACTGGACCATAGGGGGCGTGGGTTCGAATCCTACTGTCATTCGTCTAGAATTTTTTTTCTTTCAATTAGAAGAGACTTGCACTTACATGAACATTTCCAGCTTGAAATATCATCTAATTAAGTGTGATATAAAAGCAGAAAACAGTTCTACCTTGTGTAAATTTCATGAGAGGAGAAAGGGGCTACAGCCAATGGGATCTAATGCTGACTGTCTGCCATCTTGTTTATCATTGGCTTGAGGAGAGCTGCTGGTATTGAGCATCGAGTCAAATATGCCATTCTGCGCATGCGTATGCCTTATGCATATGTGACCTTATTTAGGAAAAGGGGGATTAAGGTGAATAACAAAAAAACGTGTTTTCTATCGTTTTAAACGTAAACGTGTTAAAACACCGTTTAAACGTATTTAAACAACGTTTAAACATACAAAACACGCGTGCGAAAGATTTTTATGTCGAAAGAGCTTTATACAAACGACGCGTTTAAACGCTGTTAATTTACCTCAAATGAGCGCATAATTACATGGACACTTGCTTCATTATTGGGTGTCATCCAGGGTTACTCTGATTTATTTGAAGCAATGCAGCTCGACAAACCATCGAAAACTTAATTCAAGGACTCGGAACGGAGAGGAAATGCGGGATCGAAAGTCCAACCAAATATGGCGGAGTTCTTCGAGGAAGAAAACAAAACACTAAATACTCGGTGACTCAGTACGTAAATCATGAGCATAAACTTCAGCTGAAGTGAGGAATGTACGAATGAATATTACATGATGGAGCGATAAACAGCGCTGTAGCAGCGGTGCAGAAAATTCCCGAATCACGATCTGGGCTGCAAAGTGGCTTCGAAAAGATAAAATGTTGTTACCGGTAATGGCCTACCACTCGTCAGTACAAAAAACAACGAATTGCAGACTTCAATAATGCAATAATCATGAGACATGGTAGAGGAGTTGACAAGGCCTTAGTACAGTAACGGTGTAAAAACCACAAGAAAGTCAAAATGCAACTGATACTTTTAATCCACGCGTACACGTTACAAAAGCACGTGACATAACAAATCTGCAACAGTCTCGCTTTGTAAATATTCAGCAATCACGGTCACTCATCTAAATGTAAGAACATGCAGACAATGAAGTTTATCTTCTTTAAAAATAAAGAGAATAAGAGCGATTGTGCTACATAACGTTTGCACGGACACAAACCAAATGATTTTTGATTCGCTGCAACAGCGTAAGCCTGACATCGCTCACCTTGACGTTTTTTCCGTGATCCACGATCTGCTACACTTTTTTCATGAACGAATTCAACCCAATATTACTTTGGTCGTCGTTAAATTTTACAATGGACTAAGGAACGTACATTATCGTGAACGTTTTAATCTTGTAAGTGCATGCGTACCCCAGCTAAGATTCTTGTATCTGTGTTGCTTGCTTTGGTTCGATTCGTCGGTACTTTATAGCGTGGAATTCACTGTACAGTGCCGTTGTTTACAAATACCTTTGAGCTGTTCCATCCAAAAACATCAACAGAACTTCCATCTCGAAACAGAACTAGATGCAAAAAACTTACAATGTATGAATCTTTGCGCCGGATGTTACTAAAACGGGGAACGGGGAGCGGGGAGCGGGGAACGGAAGTCTGGGAACGAGTTGTCAGCGGAAACCTCCACAAAAATCCAAAATGGCGGTCCAAAAAACGAGAGAGAGAAAGAAGAAGACAAAGAAAGGAATTTGTGCCTTGGTTGAAATCAGGTGGGGACGAAATTGCAAATCAGACTCACATTTTACGTTTAAGTTTTGAGCAGGTGGTATGTTTTTTCGATATTAAACCTGTTTCATTTACAATATGATAAGGTCTTAGGTCTTAGTTTTCGAGACACCTGGCACACTCACATTACTCCTGGATTACTCCGTTTACTTTAGACCGTCGCTTAATCCTGCCTGTTTATCCCCCTGAATGTTCTTTTTCCCACTCAGACAAACTCTTGGAGAGTAAAGGTTTTATCCAAGCCCATTATATGCCTTGTTTTGAGAATGCTTGGTAAATAACTCGCAGGCATTGTAATGAGAAATAAACGTGGAATTTATTAATGCATGTACATATAGTGTTCTCGCGTTCTGTGCTTGAGTAAAACTTTGTACAGCTGTTAGTATTTAAAACTAACGGCTAAAACTTGTTTTTTACAATTTTTTTATAACGGGGAAAGCTTGTTGTTGTTGTTAGTGTTATATTAAAGTCATGGAGTGATGAGTTATGAATCGTTTAACGTCAGGGTTTGGCATTGAAAGCAGGGTTTTAAAAGCACTGACTTCAAGAAGGTGGTGGACAAAACAATGACCCCCATTCCATGAACTACCCCCAATGACTACCCTGAAATGGACTATGCCACTGAAGTTAAGTGATTAGGGTTAGGAAACGGAGTGAATCAGGTTCCATTTAGGGTCCTTATACTGGGAAAACTGACCTAAAACTTCATTCACTCAGTTTCCTAACCCTAATCACTAAACTTCAGCGGTGTAGTCCATTTTAGGGTATGTCCATGAAGTGTGGCTCAGTGTTTTGTCCACCACCCTTCAAGAAGTGTTTATTCAGGTTTGTCACTATATTTACTGTATGTACCAGTATTTGTTTAAAGCAGTTAATTCAAGATATTTGAAGTTTTTCACTTGACTCATGACTCATAGACTCAATTATTTAATTGCTTCTATAATTTCAACTCCTTGACCCATAACGTGGCCTAATTTTAAACCGGCATTTTCTTAGTGTTGCATATTCACTATTGTATACAGTGCTTTTCAACACGTTTTGTAAGTGTAGTTTACATTATAAAATCATCACATTTTCTTAGTTTACTTTAGAATGAAAGAGTCCAAGGCTAAGTTTTAAAATCAGCCAAAAGAAATGGGATATGCTAATTGCTTATCCAGATTGCACCATGTTATTGCCTTAGATGAGGTTTTTTTAACAACGTATCAAAGATCAAAGTAAAAGAAAATTTAACTCTTCAAGTCCCATGATCGACCGAAATCAATTTTCTCGAAACAATATCAATACGTTATCCAGAGGAATGTTTATGACAAGTAATGAAATAATCACCAAAGGGAAAATGCTTTAATCTTCAACCAAATTCTGTCATCTAAATCTTTAAGGAAATGTAAAGAGATAAGTGTAGACAGTGTTATTTGTATGTGGATAATGAAGCTTAGAGGGTTAAGGTACGAGTAGGTATGACTAGAATCATTATGTCAAGTTAACCAAATGGGTTAGGTATAAACTAACATGTCTGAAACAGTTTAAATCCGTAAGTGGCCGCCTAAATACTTTTATGATATTGTATAGTTCCCTTCATATACATTACTCTTCAGCAAAAAGGGGGCCAGTTCATTTCTTTATATCAAGCAATAACGGGTTGATAATAGAACCCTATGCCAGCAAATTGTGATAGTCAAGAGATCTCTACCAAAATCCTTCACAACAAAGGAGTATCTTTAAAAAAATGATTAGAATTTGCTTTTACACCCATTTTATATTCAGAATGACATTTCAAATTGATTTTGATATTTGTATCTTTTGACCATAACTAGGTTATAAGGGGAAAACTGAATAATATTGCCTCAAACCCTTTCATCTCCATAGAGAGTGAACTGGCAAAAATTCCCTTTAGACCTTTTACTGTAAATCCTCTGTTCAGCCTCCCTCTCCTTAGAGGACTACAAGAAGACAACCATGAATGTACCACTTCCTTGGCACAAAAAGGTATTTTGGTACAAATCATGCTATATGTTGGCAGTAGTCAGTACGGCATTTCTAGTATGTCTCTCACTCTCTTTAGCCTTGTGCCATGTAATACTGGCCTAAGCATTCAGGAGGGGGTATGGTAGAGGACTGACAGTACAATTTGTTGTGTTTATATTATAATGAGCTTTGGTGTTTCTAGTAAAGGCCAAGAAAATGCCGGTTTAAAATTAGGCCACGTTATGGGTCAAGGAGTTGAAATTATAGAGGCAATTAAATAATTGAGTCAATGAGTCATGAGTCAAGTGAAAAACTTCAAATATCTCGGATTAACTGCTACTATCTGCTTTAAACAAATACTGGTACATACAGTAAATATAGTGACAAACCTGAATAAACACTTCTTGAAGGGTGGTGGACAAAACACTGACCCACACTTCATGGACATACCCTAAAATTGACTACACCGCTGAAGTTTAGTGATTAGGGTTAGGAAACTGAGTGAATGAAGTTTTAGGTCAGTTTTCCCAGTATAAGGACCCTAAATGGAACCTGATTCACTCCGTTTCCTAACCCCAATCACTTAACTTCGGTGGCATAGTCCATTTTAGGGTAGTCATTGGGGGTAGTTCATGGAATGGGGGTCAGTGTTTTGTCTACCACCTTCTTGAAAAGAGTGCTTAACCCTGCTTTCAATGCCAAACCCTGACCTTAAACGATTCATAACTCATCACTCAATGACTTTAATATAACACTAACAACAACAGCAAGCTTTCCCGGTTATGAAAAAATTGTAAAAAACAAGTTTTAGCCGTTAGTTTTAAATACTAACAGCTGTACAAAAATTTACTCAAGCACAGAACGCGAGAACACTATATGTACATGCATTAATAAATTCCACGTTTATTTCTCATTACAATGCCTGCGAGTTATTTACCAAGCATTCTCAAAACAAGGCATATAATGGGCTTGGATAAAACCTTTACTCTCCAAGAGTTTGTCTGAGTGGGAAAAAGAACATTCAGGGGGATAAACAGGCAGGATTAAGCGACGGTCTAAAGTAAACGGAGTAATCCAGGAGTAATGTGAGTGTGCCAGGTGTCTCGAAAACTAAGACCTAAGACCTTATCATATTGTAAATGAAACAGGTTTAATATCGAAAAAACATACCACCTGCTCAAAACTTAAACGTAAAATGTGAGTCTGATTTGCAATTTCGTCCCCACCTGATTTCAACCAAGGCACAAATTCCTTTCTTTGTCTTCTTCTTTCTCTCTCTCGTTTTTTGGACCGCCATTTTGGATTTTTGTGGAGGTTTCCGCTGACAACTCGTTCCCAGACTTCCGTTCCCCGTTCCCCGCTCCCCGCTCCCCGCTCCCCGCTCCCCGTTCCCCGTTTTAGTAACATCCTCTTTGCGCCCTTCATTCAACGGTGGCAAATGTTTGCCTAGATATGTAATGGGATCTCCTGCAAAGGTGCCGACCAATTAGATTACAGCCTAGGATGTCTCAAGGGAATTAGCGATAACATTCCCACACTCGCCAGTCACGGAATGAAATTTATTGAAACCTTGATTCATAACACATAGAATTTGGAGGTTTATTCAATAAGTGATCTTCCCTGCGCACAAGCTTACTCACATTCCTTAGAGGTACAGTCAAAGTTTTCTCGTTATAAAAGCGGGCGAAAAGCTGATATTTTCTGTTGTTACGGGGCGAGCGTCACGACATCGTGACCAGTGACCCTGAATGCGAAAATACATGACGAAGGCTTGCGCCATTATTTCTTCGATTCTGCCTCGCTTCTGGCGACGTGCTTTTGTCGCCAAAAATTCCGAAGAGGAAAAACGAAGGAGTCGAATGTGAAGGTTTTAAAGAGCATAAAAAGATTAAAACAAGCTTGAGAAAAAGGATTGACCAGCCTGTTGGTGAAGCCCGATATGCCGATAGAAACATTTTGAAGCGTCGTTAGGTAGTTTGCGTTTCTTTGAGCAATATTGTTGGCTATTGTATTCAACATGAAAACTACAGAATCCGTAGGCTCAAATTCGACTGCTTGCTCCATTCTTAGGAAGACTCGAAAAGCGCATCTTCTTTCCTGCGTGTGCTTTGGTTGCTCCCGTTGATAGCACGACATTCTTGCACTGCAAGTGGGCTAAAGTCGGTGTACATGAGGCGCTCACAGAAAAAACGATATTATAGACGGAATGTGATGATTACTGCAATGCAATTTTTTAGCCATCTGCTATGTAGAAAGGAAAGGCAAAAGGTAAGTTGCTGGTGAATTGATCATTTTGACACAGTGAGTTGGAAGACATGCACCCTAATCTTCGCATTTCATATAATAAAACACTGGTAATTTATTCATTCAAATACGACTAAATTAGCTTACTTTCCATCATACGAAATGCAATATTGAAGTGCAACAGAGCCGGTTGTTTAAACGCATTAAAAATCTGTTTAAACGCATACAAAATGCGTTTCCACGCTTTTCGACGAAGCCGATTAAACGCGTTAGAACGTTGTTTTCTAAATTCACCTTAATCCCCCTTTTCCCAAATAGGGTCACATATGCTTATGCGCTAGTGAAAACCAGGCTTTATAGCCATCTTCGACTTTCATATTATCACTCGATTATCGACAGTATCGACACACATTTTATACAATACCTAAGTTTTTACTTTTCAACAAGTTTCCCGAAAATAATGTTTTGACTGTTCACAGAAGTATACAAAAAGATAATGTCAAATGATTTGAGATCACAAGAAATGATATCTCCTTAGAGAATACATGCTGTAGGCTTGTTCCAAGCGTGCTCACTTTTTCTCACTAGAAGAAAAAAGCGAAAAAGCTGTGCCTTTTTACTACCCTCGCTTTGATTCAACGTTTTCCTTTTTTGCCATTATTGTGGGGTAAAACGTTATTTCTATGACACAGGTTTGAAATCGAAGGCTCTTTGATTCCTCGTGGCAAAACATAGCTGTACATTTCACACTTTCTCTTTGACATTAAGACTTGACATGGTGGTGTTGGTCTTTGATTTAAAATGGTGCGCTCTAAATTCCTTTCAAGGCAACCAGAATCCGTGGAAAGTGATGGGTTCTCTGAATTCTGTGTATGGAGAGCTTTTCAAAGAGAGTATTAGCATGATACATGTTATATGTGGCAGTCATACAGCTTCATTCTGTGTGCAGCTTGTGGTTTGTAGTTCTGCTTCATGCTGCTCATGTTTTTTTACTATTTTGTAGCTATTGAAATTGGTTGTAGGGATAACCAGGCACAGATCACTAAAACAATTAGTCGATTAGATTCAGAAAAGGTAAGTTGATAATAACTTGTGTAATTTTGGCTAATTTGAGCATCAGGTATTTTCTTTCACAAAAACAAAGTTTTTGACTGCCATTTTTCACTTAACCTGGCTGAAACTAAGACACAAAGTTATCATTGCAAGCTTGTACATGTGTATTGTAGTTTTCCGTTTTGGTTCTTCACTTTGTCAGTCTTAATGTCTTAAAACTTTGAGCTCTATTTGGAAAATGACAACACACAATCGCTTTGTAGTTTTATTTACATGTACCATCAACCGTGATGCAGTGAGAAAGGCTCGAGAAGCTCATTCAATACACAAAGCGAACACATTATATTTTCCTCTAGGAATAAATAGATGTGACGAAGCTCACTGATATATGATAACGCCTAGTCTCCTACACCAATAACAATCCATTGCATTTATTGACACTTTTTCAAAATTATACTTATTTGTAACGAACGTTTAGTTTTATTTCCATTCTTTTAGCCCCTGAAGAAGGTTTGTTTTCAAACCGAAATATTGGGCAATTTGTTTACATAATTTTTTTTGTTTTATTCTTTTGTTTACTTCTTCATTGCCTTGTAGTAAGGATCAGTTTTTCCGTTTCATATTTTGCATACAACAAAGCCAGTAAAAACAAATCCGTCTACAAACTTCAAACATCATTTTCAGCATTGGTGCAACCAGAACTTAATTAGGTGCAAAAGTCTGAAACTAGAAAAATGAATAAATTTTCAAAAGAAACAGTTTTTTTCTTTACCTTTTGTTCTAGTTTCTTGCTTTTTGTTTTTATATATATTTTTATTTTTTTATATTTTCTCACTTGGTTTATATATGCAATAGGAAATACGAAAGTGATCATGAGCGGATGTTGCATTTTTTGCTTATGTGCAGTGCGTTTTGCTGCAGTGTTCTGCTGACTACTTGTTCCCAGACTTCCATTGCCGTTTCCCGTTTCCCATATCCCGTTTCCCGTTTCCCGTTCCCCATTCCCCATTCCCCCTTCCTTCTGTTAGTAACATCCAGAACTGTTAAATCAAATGCCTTCACAAAAAATCGTACAATTGTTTCCCCTACGCCTTGTAAGTGGAAAATGGAAATGCCATAAAAATAGAAATATTTGCTCTTAAAAAAAAAACAGAAAATAATAATAAGTTCGTACCTCGTATTAATGTGGGGCTCCGGCGGTGCAGGCAATTTGTTTGCGTAGAATATGGCCGGAAGTAGAGCAACACCCCAGACGAACATCAATCCCATAACCACGACAAACGTCACAAGTAAGCGACTTCTCTCACGAGGCATAAGAGGTGCGTCGCTGCCCGAAGATGTGCATGAAATTTCCCTTGTATCTTTTGGTACTCCATTGATTACTTTGATATCCGCCATTTTGCATGCATACACACGCTCAGTTCTGAAATCAATTCAAAATCAATCAGCGTGAAATGAGAGACCCTGTTTAGACGGCCAGTATTAAATGACTCACTCTATCCGATCCTAATGGGAAAATGAAATTCATAAGGCATAATGAACGAAGTATCGGGCAGATAACTTGTTTTGTATTTTGATGAAGTGACGATGAAATGCTTAGGATAGCTGAAAGATTTAAGTTAAGCTTCCGCTAAACCCACAACTTAGAGTTATTAAACGCACACCATGTTCAGGAATGTATAAAGCTGAACTGATCAGTAAATTAATGGACCCAACGGTAGCTCTGGAAACGTTATACGTTACGCAGCATTAACAAACACCTATCACAATACCTGAGTGGAAATGAAGCCGCCTTCTCGAAACAGAAGTTTCTTCAAGGTGATCTCTGCGATCGATCCTTCCGCTCCGACTTGCGCTCCACGAAATCAACAAAAAAGCCTGGGGGCCTGGACAAAGCAAAGCGACATTTCATTCAGCGAAAGTGAAGGATTTCCCGCTTCACGAAAATTTCCCGCCATATTTGCAAACAAGAACCAAGCCAAATATTTCAACTTGAAACGACGACTGACATTCAAAAGTAAAGCTATGGTACAGGAATTTATGATTCTCCGATGCTTTTCTTGCACTACCTTCCAAGTCCACCAAGTAAGAATTGTTTGTATTTTTGCAAATTCCAACTTGCTGTCATCAATTTCCAAATCAAAGATGACGAATTAAAGTTTTGATGAGTATCCTCCTAAACAGTCCTAAAACATCAGCTGGCTTATCTAGAATTTCCTTATTAAGTTTATATACTAGTTGTAAACTTAACAAAAAGATATAGCTCGATACCTTTCCCTACAACTCAGCTCGGCTGTTGACCAGCTATGATTCTGGATAAGTTTAGCAATGGCAATAATTTTTGTTCGTTAAAGTTACAACTACTTAAACTATGATTGTTACCAGGTTAAGAAGAGCAAGAAGTGGATTTGTAAAGTTTGTGGAGAAAAGCAGTCCATCAAAAAGATTTATGGACAGGGCAGTGGCCAGGATTGCCGCAAGCATGTTCAGGAATTAAATCTGAAATGCGGAGAAGCTCAAGCAGTAAAAGACCTAACAGCATGGGACTGTCATGACAACAATGGTTATGGCGATGTCTCTGAAAACATGCAAAGTGCAGGCGACATTGCAGTCAATGGCAGAAACCCAACTTGTGAAGACAGTACGACTGGATACATGTATAAGCCCCCTACCGTAGAGAGTAAATGGAAAATGTTCTTGGAGAATATGTCTTCCTCTGATGACAATGGTAAATGGAAGTTTATTTTAGCATTGACTTAAAGTTTGCATGTTATTGGAGGAGCCAAACAATCTGAGAGCCAGCGAGCCATGCAATTTGTGCGCGCCTTAGGAAGAAAAATACCGTAAAATTCCGAAAATAAGCCCCGGGGCTTATATTTTTCAAAGGCCCTTTTTGAGGGGCTTATATTCACTGGGGCTTATGTATGGAGGGAAATTTACATTTCAAAGTCAGTTGGGCTAGCCTTACTCTTGGAAGGAAATTTACTGTATTTCTTTGTTTTACTTTGTATTTGAGGGCAATTTCCAAGTCCAAGCCTCCGGGGGTATATATTTGGGGGGTAGGAATTTAATGGAAGGTTTTTATGTTACAAGTTTGGGGGGCTTCTATTTGGAGGGGCTTATTTTCAGAATTTTACGGGACTGATATTTCGTCGGGGGGGGGGGGTGGTCAGAAAAGTGTGGTGTATCAAAACTTTACCCCTTCCCCCCAAAATAAATGATATGAAAAATATCATATGAAAATTGTACCCTCCTTGGCAATAACGATTTTTCAAATGGATCCCTCCCCTTCCCCCTCCCCCAACCCCTTCTAGACCAAGCCTCTTCTTCCGTCCTTGGGCATTGGTCTCATAAGCTATAAGATACCGGCAGTTGGCAGCGTAGAACAAGATTTGAAGGTGTACGGTGGGGAAGAAAAGTTAGTGTGCCAAAGGTGCCCTAAAGCTGGGCGAGTCTGGGGGCATGCTTCCCAAGAAAATCTCTAAATTGGGGGTCTCCGAAATGCCATCTCCTGCATTTTCTGCAGGACATTTTCAGTAAATAAAGAAGAAGGAAAATGCAGTAATTAGTTGTTTATTTTACCCATCTATCTCTAGTGTTATTGGCAAGGTACAGTCTGTTTAGGGCAAAAAAAGGTAAAACAGTGGCGCCATCAAGGACGTTACAAGCAAAGGGCAAGATGTTACTCTTCAGACAAGCAAACTCTGTTTTAATGCCGTTAATATCAATTACGTCCTTGTACTTGTGTATGTGCAGAATTGAAAGAGAGCTCAATCTCTCATCTGTCATGGTCCTTCGTAAAGGAGTTTGCTACACTCAGCTGTGCATGTTGACACAGGATAAGTCAACAAAGTTATGAGAGCTACAATATACTCGGGGATAGAATAATTGTAGTTAGCTTGGTCAAAAGTCTCAACCAAGGTCTGTGGCTTCACATTCGGATCCATTTCACTCCACTGTGTCAGTCAATAAAGGAAATCCTAACAAAAAACACCAATATAATGTGAAATATTAATCCCAATTAAATGATAAAAATGCTTTCAGGAAATAAAAAGAATCTATTATATTTTTTCCAGATTTCAGCTGTATGCATATAGGCATATGTGCATTCCTGGTTGACCCCCCAAAATCAAGCCTCTCAGAAAATTGTACCCCGCCTCTTACAACCCCCCCCCCTGGAATGTAATAAACGATCATTCCCTTAGTTCCCTATGGCTACGTGAGGTTTTACTGCTGGAATATTTGCTGAATTATGTAGTCTTGGTCAACTTTCATTGATTGGGGTTAAGCTCTCATTTTACTGACTAGGGTTAAGCAGTCCTCTTATGGATTAAGGTTCAGGGCTCGAAATTAAAAAAATCCTCTGGTCGCCTTTTGGCGACCAACTGGAGAAATATAGTCGCCAGATACAAATTTTTAGTTGCCAGTTCATATAATGTAAATGACGCAGCTCTCAGGGCTTCTGATATTTCGTGCCGTCCGCGAAATTTACAAAAACACGCAAAATACCGCAAAATTCGGTAGAAATCTTACCAAATACATGTCTTTACAACATATTTGAAACTTTTCTCAGCTATTGGGGCTATTTACTTGCCGTACACTTGTAAATTTATCTTGAAACTTCGTCACTGAAAACAACGTCCCGTTGTCACAGTGATATGTGTATCCCCGTGATATGTGTATCCCCATACACATATCCCTAGTGATATGTGTATCCCGGGTGGGGATACAATAAACACTGATGCTCATCCACGACACAATAAGGAAATTTCTTCTCTTGGTTAAGGAAATGTCGTAGATATCATCTAACATAACTAGTAACACAACTAGAGTTAAGACAGGAATCAAACAACATGCAAAGGTGGAATATTGTGGCGCTCGCAGAACGGATACACATATCGCAGACCCAGTGCAGAGATATGTGTATCCCCCGTTTTTTCTTCTCTTGCTAAAGGAAATATCCTCCATATAATCTATCAGAACAACTAGTAATACAACTAGGTTTACAGGAATCAAACAACTGAAAAGGCGGATTATTATGGTGCTTGCACGGGGGGATACACATATCACTGGACCAGCGCAGAGATATGTGTATCCACTCTCTATTAATTGACTTTTCGAGTTATCCCTTGCTGAATGAAATTTTGTCAGTCATACTTATTTAACGCGACTAGTGACATATGAATTATAATCACGTTGGGTAAGGAGAGGAGCGAGAACGAATGTTTACATCAACATTGCGGCCCACGAAGAAGTAAACTCGCCAGAGACAGCTTTGCGATTATTTTGCCTCGAATCGTTGCTCTTTTGTCGATTGTGTTGCTCGTAATCTTGAATCATTTGTAGTCCCTTTGACGATGATTCGCAAAATTCACAACAACAACAGAAATAAAGCCGACACTTGTTTGGAGGGGTGGGGGGTAGGGGATATACATTTCACTGGCAGCCATATTGAAGGGATACACATATCACTAGGGATATGTGTACGGGGATACACATATCACGGGGATACACATATCACTGTGACACCGTAACTCCGAAACTACCAGGCGTTGATTATGTTGCGAAAAACTGGGCACTAGCCATGATGTTAAAGGCTTTGCCATTGGTTCAGTTCTGGAGCATATTGTTGTTGAAAGAGAAAATGATGACTCTGTTAGAAAAACATTTTAAAAAAACGCTGGTCTGGTCAGCGCAAAAACCGATCGATCTCTGACGAAGTTTTCCCTGAAAATAACCACAAAATCGGCCTTTTTTGACCGACTGATTTTCGGCTAAGTTTGCCCGAAAATTCCTGCAAAATCGGTCGATTTTTCCGCGAATTTGCCCCTAAAAATCCCGCGAAACTTGACTTTTTTTAAGCGACCTATCAGAAGCCCTGCATAGTTTGGTGCGATCCATGATCAGATTTGAAAATATCGTGGACAGAAGTCGGTATAAATTTGGAGGTAAACTGGCTTTGTTTATGCGATTTGGCACATTTTTTATGATGAAAGCAAAGTAGGATAAGATGAAATTTTTGTTTTAACTTTATTCTTTTATTTTAAATCTAAATCATAGAGAAATCTGGTTGCCACTTTGGCGACTAAACTTGAATTTTTAGTCGCCAAGGAGAAAATGTTAGTCGCATTGGCGACCGTATCAGTCGCAATTTCGAGCCCTGAGGTTAAGTGCTATTTAGGGTTTAACACTTATAAATTTACAATGGTTAGAATGGTTAAGCTTTCTGTTAATGTTTTTCATATTACTACTTTTTCTTTTTTTTTTTGGTATTTTTTTTACATGGCTCACTGGCCCACGCTGTGTCCTAACTCATTAATAGACCCTGTTAATGCTTTAACTATCACTTTTAAAAATTTAGAAAAGCAACTACTATGACTGGATGCTAATGACTCATTTCTTCAACAGGTACAGACAACATTGATGGGTTTAATGTAACAACAGAAAGGGACGCTTTTAATAAAGCTACGAAAGGTGCGAGAAGGAAGTGGGCACAACATGGAAGCAAAACAAGTTCCTACCACAAACAAAAACGACCCAAAAACTCTATCGATGTTGACCAAGTCAGTGCTGGCAAATTACACTCAAAGAATACTGAAAATGTTACTGGAAATACTGTCACAGGTGTGAGATATACTCCCTATTTTGCTCCAAATCAAAGGAAACAAGCCTATTCAGGTCAGACATTTGACCTTGATGGTGCAATATTGAATAAAGAGTGCGCAGAAGTGCAGTCTCCAACTAGATTACTTCCTTTGCAAGCAAATCACCAGTACGAATGCAATGTGCACTTTGCTAGGGCAACCAGGGATGTATCCTCTTCAACTAAGCTGTCAGGTTCAATGAGTAATCAGGGAATGAAAATCTCTAGTTCATCAAAGTGGGCAAAATTTATGTCCAGTTCCTCGTCTGAAAACAAACCACTTGAAGACTCAGACACCATAAATAGCTCTACCGAGGAAACTTTGGTCCAAAATGAATACCTTCTTGTCGACACAGAGTTTCCTCTGGAGCAATGTGAGGAAATCAGTCAACCTCAAAACTGTGAGCGTAATGGTGTAAGACCAGCAAGTTGCACCATGAATGATAGAAAAGCCAGATCTCAGCTGGTTGAAGATTTGTTTAAAGTTAATGATGATCTAGATGAAGAGTGGTGGAATTCACTTTAACTTTTTGGGTTAATTTTGTCACATAATAAAGTGTTAAAAATATTGAATTGCTATATTTGTAAAGGCACAGAATAATGGGGTCCGGATAGCTTAATCTTGAATCTGGCCAGTTCCGCAATAAATGTTTGGTAATATTATTAACATTTTCATATTATAAAATGCAGGAGTTAGCCTGCCCAGGCATTGAATAGCAGTGTTTTTGTTACAAATAGTTATGGTGAGTCCTGGGACTCATCTTGTGAAAACTCATGAGTCCCTGTCCTTAAATGAGCTGCATCACGAAATTCAGCCAAATTAGGAAATTACAAAATGCCTGTTAAATTAAGAGAAACATAAAAATAACTGTTTAAAACTTTAAAGGAAAGTTGAAACAACAGATGCCGGGGATGGGCAAAACCGAAGAAGATTGAAACGGATTGAAATTTAATAGGGTTTTGGAAAACTGTTCAGCCTAAAAGTTTTCTAAAGTTGGTCCCTGCTTCTTGCAACTTCAAAAATAATACTCAGGAGACATATTTGTTTGTCTCGGATCTCTGATTTTGTCAGTTACGTGTAATTTCTTTGCTTATTTTTAGTTCCATAGCGATTGAGGGCGAGTAATTGGCAAAATTAAACAAAATGAACTGGACTGCAGTGACACAGCCCCTTTAACCAATGAATCCCAGTAGTGACCAACATCAATTTTCTCCTCATGATATCCATACAATGTCAAGAGATTAGGTTATGAGAATTAATAAAATGATCACCTAAGAGAAAATACCTTGATCTTTTATCAAATTCTCTCAACTTATTCTTTAAGGAAATATATAGAGATCAGTTTGGAGAATTTGTATGTGGATATTGGGGCTTAAAGGGTTAACCAATGAGTCCCAGTTCAAAAAACAAGGAGTCCTAAATTGAAAAAACAGTCAACTCTCATTATAGCGGCCACTGTGGGGACCTCGAGTTAGTGTCCTCATTAGCGAGAGTCCGTAATAGCGGGAGTTCATTTCAGTCAAACTGTTGTAATTTATTTTTGCCCGGTATTTAGCCACTGTCCGTATAATCGTGGTGTCCGTTATAGCGAGGTGTCCGCAAGGCGAGAGTTGACTGTACTTGGGTCTCTATGTAACCAGACGGTTTATCTGGAGACAGACACCAAAGCTCTTTATTACAGTTTACTGAAATTAGTTGTTCTATGTATGTAAAGCACAATAAAGACTAAATTACAACAGACACAGAAATCACACGAACAGGATATTCTACCCAAAGAATCTTCAAATCAATTGATCGTTCTTTGAGTTCTATGGAACACATGCCATGAATTATTTTGTGTCTTTAGGGATTTTTATGCATCAGGGATGCGGGATGCAGAGGTAACAAAATCACTGGAATAGTGAGAGAGGTAAAAGGGAATTTTGAGCATGGAGGAACTTGAACGGGACTTTCTCGGTCTCTTGCTGTGGATTTTCCAATTTGGAATTCCCCTCTTTCAAATGCTTGCCAAGCAGGCTTTAAGAAAGTGGTTGTTTTTTATGTCTGGGCCAAAAAAGTAGACTTTTGTACATTTATACTTTTATTTCCTCACTATAATGCTTATACTTGATGCTCACTCTTCCCCTATAAAGTCACGGAAATGCTCACAATTTTATAATGCCCTCAAGACCAAAAAAAAAATGTCATTGTCATGACAGCAAAGTATACAAGAGAAGGCAGAGAAGGAAAGAGTGGATTATTTTGTACAAATTCTTTAATCTTTCCAAAAAATGCTTCAGTTCACAGGTAGTCGAGGCTCAAAATATGAGCATTGGCAAGAAGGATTTGTATGGGCAAAAAGAATAGCATTACTTTGACAGGAATTAAATTGAGAAGTAAAATTGGGAAGAGTTTTCTATAACTAGAGGATGGCTAAAAATTTCTAGATGACCGTTCCATTTATGTACAATTTTTGAAGCTTGTCTAATAAATTCTTTGAGATGTTCTGGAGTTTAATACTTTCGCATTTCACTTCCCAAGTTAGGCCATTTTTCTTTGGAAAAAAGGAAACCTAAAATTTTGGGATTCAAAAATGTGATGGAGAGTCGAGGAATCAGAAAATGTCTCACTTTGAAATACATCACATTGCATCTGATATTTTCTTGAAAGTAATACAAGTGAAGCCCTTTAATTTCAAAAAGACTCAAGTTCGCCCAATATGACCAAACAGATACAAATTTTATAGCGCCACTTAGAATGAATTCTAGAGATACAAAAGTACTCTGGATAGCCTAAAAAGTGGTTTCAGTGTATTAAGGAGGAAACCATCATTCGGTGCCCCTGATTTATGGTCAGTTTAAGGGTTTTATTGGAACCAATTTGTTCTCAGGTCTGTAATCCTGTTCTAATTGTGTGAAAAAGATACCAGGTGGAACATTCTGAGGTTGTTCCCAGGAAAACTCTTAAAATGGCAATAAATTGGCTTGGTAGCCTCATGCAGATCGATGTATCCTTCGTAGGGAAGAAATAAGTGACAAACCCCTTAGAACTTCTGCTCAGGAGGATATTGGCTTGCGGACGACACAGGAAAGAAAAAACACATAGCTTAGAGGTAAATGAGGCTAGCCAGTTCCTATTTCAAATTCCTTCAAATTCTTTGATAGATTGCAGAAACAATAATATTGTTCTTCCCAAATCAAATCCTTACACTTTGAAGGTTACACAACTATGCCAACAACCATCTTTCAAGACTGGGCTACCAGTGGTCAGTTGAAGAAAACTTAAACATTGGGTATGGCAATTTTTTTGTTTTGTTCAATCAACTGAATTTTTTTTTATCATGGATGAAAGGGAATGAAAATAGATGAATGTGAATTAAAGTGAATGACTGTGTTGCAGATGCTCTAAACCTTCTTTTTACACGATAAGTGGGCCAAAGGCTCGTAATATGCTCGTAAAATATGGTGGGTTGGTATCTTCATAGTTTCGTTCTAGGCTCTCAGATAGTGGGGATGACATGTAAATGAAATGCACACAAAAATATGAGCGCGTGATCTAGGGACAGGGGCGGCGGCAGGAAAAAAGGAAGTTTCCTCCCGTTATATTTTCGTGTTTGTGCTTTCTCGCTGACCCAACTACCGTAAATCCTTTTTTAAGCCCCCCCTCTCAAATAAGCTCCCTCCCTCTAATAACCCTTCCCTTATTCAGGGGACAAACTTTAATTAGCCCCCCTCTCCATTAATCCCCCCCACCCCCACCCCTTCTCCCCTAACTATTCTTCACTAATAAATGATACACTGTTTCAATCAATCACGACTGTAAAACGTCTTTTGGACTGATCTAGGATGCTTTATTTACCAATTGGACGTCCAGATTTGATTCTGATCCTCAGCCGCATGACCCCCAACCTTCTTGTCCTTTGGCTTTTCCACATTTTATATTCTATTTCTAGTTCTTTATAGAGAACTGATACCATCGTCTTTTGAAAATTAAATAAGCTCCCCACCCCCCACCCCAAATGGGCTTGAAATTAATAGGCCAGTGGGGGGCTTCGGCCCCGCCGCTCCCTCGCATCCCTTATCCGATTCTCTGTTGTGGAAGATTGGACACCACCGAATATCCGGGGTTTTCTTGTCACAAGCGTACAACCAACATGGCGGCTATGATGAGAGGATGTCGAGTGTTAGAAAGAGCTCCATTTTTGGTGAGTTTGTCCCTGTTTCTACAGTTAGGATGACAATCTTTGTGAAACTTATTTTTCAAAATTTTGAAGAGGAATGTTTAAAGCTTAAACTATATTGTTCTTACGGCAGGCTCGAACGCTCAGTGTTTCGTCAGCTCGTTGTGCTGAACTCCCTGCCAAGGTTGGTACTCGCCAGTTTTGTCGTTTCGTTAGCTTGTTTGTTACCTCTTAATTTAGATGGTACAGACAAGATTTATGATGCCCACTTTTATAGAATATCTGACCGCTTATGCAAACCACAATTTGTGAGTATTTACTGGCCGCTACCTTGACGGACGATGACTTTCATTGCTAAAAGTTTCTTTTTGGGGACAATATCAAAAACGATGTCCGTTCCTTTCGCTTCAATTCTTTCCCCTGTATCGTGAAGTTGATTCGCTGTGAATCATATTTCGTTTCACTGCATCAATTACTCTAATAAGGTTTAAGTCACTTTAGAAACTTATTTACATAGTGTCGATTCTTCGCTCAACCAACTGTACATGTACTCGAATTCAAGCTTCTTCGCCCCGATCAGCCAAGTTGTACGTTGTACAATGTATTTCTTTTCCAGAAAAAGGTCAACAAAATGAATTATAGTTGTTTATGGTTTAGTGGTTTATTAGAAGGGGAGCCTTATTTCACCTGTCAATACAGTGGAACCCCGTTAATACGACCACCATTGGGCCATAAAATCCTGGTCGTAATAACGAGGTGGTCGCATTAACGGGGTCTTCAAAATAATAAAATGAGTCAATGTTTTTTACGTTTGGTTTGAAAGAATATGGCCGTAATAACGAGGTGGTCTTATAAACGGGGTGATCGTAAGGCAGGGTTCCACTGTACTAGGGATTAAATATTAGATAGATATTATCATTGTTTTTTATTGTAGCCTCCCATACAAGTGTTTGGTATAGAGGGAAGGTATGCCCATGCTATGTACTCTGCAGCAGCCAAGCAAAATACTTTGGAGAAGGTTGAGAGTGAATTGAGCAAAGTAGATGAGCTTATTAGATCAAATGAAAAGCTTGCTGAGTATCTTGCAAACCCTACTCTGGACAAGTATAAGAAACAATGTGAGTGTCTCATATTAGACATCTTTAATAGTTATTTTGCTTAAGTGTTTGCATTGTAGCTCACACCTAAATGAGGCCTAATGAGAGGTCAATTAGTTTACAGAAATTCGCTATTTGTCCACTCAGATTCTTAGTAGAGCAATTCTTAGTTATCACTCGGGTTATATATGAAACTAAATCAGTGATTGGCATTTATCATATTTCTATTGTTCTCCATCTTAAATTGTTACCAAAGTGCATTGAATGTTGCTTCTTTATCGCTTCCAGGGCCACTGTATGAATTCCAAAATTGAAAACATTTAATAGGTGGGTTCCCATGAGTTTAAACGGAATCAAAAAATTGTTACAGATAGTTTCCCATGATCTCTGGGTGCAGAAATGAAAAATTGTTTTCCATGGGAATTGAAATCCTAGGGCTTGCTCTAATATATAATAATATTTGTTGGTTCTCTGCCTTTCTCCAAGAGGTTTTTCTTTGGGTACTCCGGTTTTCCCCTCTCCTCAAAAACCAACAGTTAAAAATTCCAATTCGACCAGGAATCAGGTAGGCTAAGAACCATTTTGTGGATGTGCTACCTCCAAATCATTATTTATTTATTTATTTTATTTTATTTATTTTGTTATATCAGGGGTTGATCCCTCAGGTAACATTTTATTCATGGGCCAGTGTGAGTGAATTTTAATACTAACTACATGTATTGTGTTTCATTGTTTTTACAGCACTTTTAACAGATGTCTTGAAATCACAGAAGTACTCTGATTTGACAGTGAATCTATTTGGTGAGTTGCTTCCTTTACATTGACAAAAACTGTTCAGTTTACAGCTGCAATGTATGTTCTGTCACATGCGACCATCATTGTTGAAAATTCCAGTTTAGCTTTCAAGGTTATGTTTTGGTTTTGAAACTTCATTTTAAGATTTGGAATTTCCATAAGAATTTTACCTCCATCTTTATGAAATCAAGTGTGCCCAACATTGTGAGAGAGACTTAGGCTACGTTTGTAGGCACTGGACAAAATTTGAATTCATGCTTTTACACCATTGGTGTTCCTTTCACACAGAACCACTTTAAGTGTACGAAAAATTTAGAGGCCCAGAGCCTGTTCAAAGTTCCATGTGAACAGAGGAAAAATATTAAACAGTCCCATGTGAATGAAGTGTCTGGTCAAATTTTTCAGCTGGTCGAATATTATTTGTTTGTTGGTCTGTGAACTTAGCCTAAAAGCTTTAATCTACAAAATTCAGGGTTCATAACATAAATTCTTTAAATATACTTTCAAGTAAAATTAAGATCTTCTTGTTACCTAAATAAAGACACCAGTAAATCACCATGGGCCACAAGGCACTGTTAGAGTACAGCCATGATTGGTGCTTTAACAGTAAATAATATTATTTCAAATTGCAGGAACTTTGGCAGAGAATAATCGGCTTCGTTTAGCCAACAATGTTGTGTCTGCCTTTGGCAAACTTATGAGCGCTGCCAGAGGGGAAGTGTTGTGTTCTGTAACAACTGCTAAGGTTTGTTCTTATTCACTAGCACCTAATATGTGTAAGACCAGCGTGCAAAGAAAGTCCTGTTTAACAGCCCGGGGCTAGTGGATTTGCAGTTGGGCTAGTGAATTCTGACTTCTCAACTTGCTCGAAGGGCAAGTGAAGTTTTTTGGGAAATTCAAATTACAGAAGAACTGTAATCAATGCTGCTCGTCAAAATTTTTTGGAGGCTACTTAAAAGACTCTTGGGCTAGTACAAAACTTGCAACAACTTGCCTGAATGGCAAGTGGTAAAACCGACTTTCTTTGCACCCTGATGTCCTTTTTTTGTGACGGATTTTATGGTTTTGTCTCTTTTAGGATTCCTGCATTAAACAGAAGTGTAACTGAAAAATGTGATCTAAAATGCATGCATGGTGTGGCTTTTATTAAAAAAAAAGAATGAGAGAAAACATTGATGTTAGGGAAATGCTAGCATGTATAGCAGTTGTTTCTGTTTCCTTTTACCCAAGCTAGACAATGTAAAAAAGTGAGCATACATGTAGGCAATGGGTGAAAAGGGAAAAAAAATTGGGTCTTTTGTAGTTTTGTCTAGCCTGAATTTCATCCGATTACTTCGAGTCATTATTACTCCCTCAGTAACGTCTGAATCGACCGCCTGTTAATGCCGTCCAGTGACGTCACTCACTACCCGAAAACCGGGTAGTGATTTTGATTGGTTGATTGTCTAAACATTCGCATAATTATGTATAATTATGAAAAATTTTAGCGGGATTGTTGCTTGATATTCAGCAGATAGCATCCCTAGCATTCTTTCAGGTAGTTCAAACATTTCAGTAAGCTTAATCTTTATCTTAAACAGCAAAATTGCCGTTGTCTTCGAAACTGAAATGCTAAATTGAACTGCAAATGAAGAATCATTGTGGAGAGTCGGTAGGTTTTTCATTTAGAGCCGCTTTGTGGTTTCGGCGGCAGATGATCTTGTTTACGCGAAGTTTTCTGAGATCAATGTTATAATTTGACCTTCTTGCTATTTTCACCGTCAACGGTAATTATTCCGTTAGCTTTTCTTTCTTGTTTCCTTGTTTTTTTTTTCTTCGTTAAGGACCAAATAGCTTCTTTTCAATTAAAGCAAATCATTGTGTTTTTTAACTAAGTGTTCCGTGTGTGTGTTTATTTCATTGCGTGAATTGCGACCGAGTTTGATTATAGAATTCAGCACAACCAGTTCAGAGTTGTACTGCATGCAGTTGACAGTTTGAATGTTAAACATAAATTATGATCTAAAAAAAAAAAGCAATTCTGTATCAGGTAGACATTTCCAAACGATATTTCTGGGTTTGCCACTTGAAAATCATGTTTTACTTTTTGCATGAATTAAAGCAAAGGTCAAGGAGTAGTGACGTCACTGGACGGCATTAACAGCCGGTTGATTCAGATGTTACTGAGAGAGTAATAACAACTCAAAGTAATCAGATGAAATTCAGGCTAAATTTTGTTCTGCTTCACCAAAAGGAAATGGCTGAAACAACTACATGTACCACTGTACACTTGATCGAGAAAATCCACAGCTACAAAAAAGTCAGTTAGAAGACAAGGAGAAACTCAAATTTTTTTTTCTTAAGGGAGGAAACCCCAAGTCTTTTAACGTCATTTTCATATCCTAGTGATATAGCATTGGTGCCCCTGTCCAGACTATACCAGGGAGGTTAAGAAACCACGGTGTCAAAAAATGCCATTGGAGAGAGGATCTCTTAATTAATAGTTCTTTCAAGGCTGTAAATTACAGCAAATGTCATCACTGAAGAAGGGATCCGAATCGATTCCGAAATAAACTCTGCCACACTTTCAACAAATTGTTGGTGATGAAGAATTTTTTTTTTCTGTAATAGTTCTTTAGTTGTTTCATAAATTTGAGTTTATAAATTTGAATGACTATAAAGGTGTCTACTCGTTAAAAAATGTTGGAATGTGTTGTTGAGCGTGCATTTACATGCTTTATTATGATATGTTTTTCTTATTAGGAGCTGGATACGTCACAAATGAAAGAGCTTCAGGCAGCATTGAAAGGTTTTACACAAAAGAACGAAACCCTCAAGCTTGAAACCAAGGTCAGATTACATGAAATTCTGGTGACATTTACATTTATGCTACATGTAGTACAGGTGAACTCTGTTGTGGCGAAGTGCCAAGGGAGTCTTTTAATGGCAATAATATACAGTGAAAGCTCTGTTAGCTGGCCTGCTATTAGTACAATGTTCTTAAAACGCACATTGTTTTTCATCTCGTTCTTGTTTTGCAGCAATGTTGCGAAACAAGTTGCATGTTCTGCTGTCCATTATTTTTATTGTACCTTTATAAGCTATATGTAATTTATAAAGCAATATTATTAACTCTGGTTTTAATACAGCAACGTTTTTGGGTTTTTCAGGTTGATCCCACAGTTATTGGAGGGATGATAATTGAAATTGGTGACAAACACATTGACATGTCCATGGCGACAAAGATAAAAAATATTACAAATGCTCTGCGAGCCAGTGTGTAATGTCTTTGGACTTGACTTCCAAGCTTTTGTGATTGTACAATAAAAGTTCCAGAGTTTTGATTCACAACTCAACTGTTGGTCTCGTGAGGTATTACTTTAATGTTCATGTATAATAATATTAATTTCTAAATAAAAGAAGATCATTGCAGTTATAGACGCAACTTTTGCAGTTGCGAAAAGGAAGCAGTGATCGTCTTTAATTTAAATCTTCATTTGGCAATTACTTGTTATGGTTTTCATAATTATGTCATTATTTCATTGTCATCCTTTCACTGGTTTATAAAGAACCAACTCAATGATATGACCTGCACCCAGTTGGCTTCTTAGCTCAATTGGTAGAGTGCTGCACCGGTATCACAGAGATAATAGGTTTGAGTCAATTTTTTTGAGGCTTCCTGGTTATTTTTTTTGGTGTTGTTGTTTGTAAATTAAAAGTCATTAATTTGTCTTCAGTTTCTAAAAATGGCAGTAAGATTCATCTCTAGTTATTTTTTACTACCCACCCAAAGAGTGGGTAATGCACATGCACAACCATTCACAAACTTATCCACTATGGCGATTTTTCTGCAAAAATAAGTAGTTATGATGGTCTTCATTTCATTTATGTACAGGCCGAGGGCCTTCAAAAACACATGGACATGTATGTAATCCAGCAAGGCTTATGTCTCACCTTACTTCCTCACTCCTACTTGTATAATGGTTAATAGAAGTCCCCGGCAGTAGACATGCACTAGGGACTGTCTAGGCTTATGTAACATTCTTACTGCAACATGTAAGATTACACACCTTGGACCTCTTACTCGTGTGCATTTAACCTTGCTAGCAATTCTTTGTTAATCAACCCTTGATATATTTAAGACTTTCCACTGTATTATGACCAATCACATTGATGTTCATATAAGCAAAGCACAAAACCACAAGATAAATTATTACCATTACTTAAGGCTGTGGTGTCGTGGTACCTGGTGGCCCGTGGCACCTTACCTTTGCTCTTGGGCTACAGGAAAATATTTTGTTCTGGATTACACAGGTTCAGGGCATTGGGCTGTCTTCAATTTTTCTTAAAACACAGCCTTGCCACTGCTTACAATTAATTTGATTATGCATATCTTATTGGCTCTTTCGTTTTGATACAATAACATTTCAGAAGCATATTCCTTTGCATCCTAGGCTTGTAGCTTTTGGGTTTTTCAACACTTTTGCTACAAGTGAATCCACCCTTAGATTGACAGTTACAGAGTTTTCTCACTAATGAGTCAAATTACTGTCAGCTGGAAATTATTATGTAGCATCGTTATCCCTCTGGGGGTTACTCATTAAGTGCCGGCAGCCGGCTAAAAACCCAGCTACTTGGAGGTCTGAGCTTTCTTCTTTTGGGGTAAAATGGGTAAACAGAGGGAGTGAAAGTTTCAAATTGCCTTCAGCACTCCATTGCCAAGCCACCTATCTTGACATCCGAGCTGTCTACTTTAAAACGTTATGAAAACCCTGCCTCTGGGAAGTGTAAAAACATGCTAGCATTGCATAAAAGGAGGCTTTAATGTTTTGTTCATTGATTTTACAAAACTACACGAGTTTGCACTAAAATGAAACCTTTAAACATTTCTAAAAGGATAACTCAGTGTGCAAAGAAAGTGGTGTCCGATAGCCCAGGGCTAGTGGATTTTGCTATCGGGCTAGTGAATTCTGTTATTAACTTGCCCAACGGGCAAGTGAATTTTTTTGAAGAATTCAAATTACAGAAGAACTTTGAAATCAATCTGCTCATCAAAACGTTTTTGGGGCTAGTTGAAATGATATTTGGGCTAGTAAATGTTAGCTTCAGCTTGCCCGAATGGCAAGCTGTAACAATGACTTTCTTTGCACCCTGATTTATTAACTGTACTTTTAATAGAATAAAATAATTATAGAATACCACTGATACAAATTTTGTAAATGGCACTATTCAGTGTACTATACTTTGTCTTATAAAGACTCCATTTTTGGGATTGTAAGTTCTAAAACAGGTTTTTTTGTATGTCAAAAATACCATACAGTAATACTGTGCTTCCCGTAATTTTCACTATGTCCAGTATTCAAACAAAATGGTAATAATAATTTTCTTGTGTGCCTTTTGACAGTTTTTACAGATATTGCATTTATAGTTGTGTGTTGTAACAATTTTGATGGTCTCAGCTTTGACTATTCACTATGCTAGCATAAAAAATAATGGCAGCTTAATTTTGCTTTAACAAAACTTTAATTACCGGTATTCCTTTTCTTGAGCATAAAATGTTGCAAAACCAGAAACGGCAGGATATAAAGCTGATTTTTTAATAAAGAGCCACTTTTGTGACAATTTTTCTGAAAGGTTTCTCTAGTACTCAGGGTTCGCACGCACCTTGAAAGTCCTTAAAAGTCCTTAAATTTTAAAATAAAAATTCAAGGCCTTGAAAGTCCTTGATAATTGCAGTCGGTGCTGGAAAGTCCTTGAATTTCAACGATAACTTAATAGTTTAAGTAGAACTCCAAAGAAAAAGGAGTAAACACAGAAAGACCTTCGGGATAAAATTACTCATGTTGTGGAAGAACTAAAAAAGACATAGACTCAAGGCTCTTTTTTTGCACTGAATGGCGTCCTTGAAAAATGGGGAATGTGTCCTTGAAAGTCCTTGAAAAGTTCGTGAATTTTTTGTTCAAAAAAGGGTACGAACCCTGAGTACTTCAAAATTAAAAACACAGGCAAATTATAAATTATTGAATCTTTGTAAATCTCTGTCTGTAACATTATTATTACATGGTGGTGTAATTGCCTTTTCCATTTGATAAATTTTCATGTTTTAAAGTTATGATAATAAAATAATATTTATATTGTATACTGACTAGAATATTAACTTTCATTGTTCAATTTTACCAATAATTTTTATCACAGAAATCCCCATAAGCTTTTACCATCTAGTTAAAAAGTATCTACAGTGTAAATCTTGCTGATGATAATTATTTTAAATTTCTTTTAAGTGTCTATCTAAAATAAAATAATCTTAATTCATTAACACTCACTTTTCTTACTTAGATAACTCAGATCAATATTTTTACTTTAGAAAGAAATGGTTTCAACGTAAGAACGTTAGTAAACAAAGCAAAAATGCAAATAACTTGGCATGACTAAAAACTCCTTACTTTTCTATTTATCTATAGTTCCTTTTCACAGCAGTTGCTTAGTGCCCTTCTTTCAATAAACTCATCTTCCATCATCCACAGGTGAAAACGCATTTCCTTCAGAAAATTCCGGAAACTTTCATGATGTTTCTCTGGAAAGTCTCTATCCATTCGCGCATCATCTAATTCAGCTTCAGCATCCTGCTTATCAGTGCGAAATGGACCATATGCATGAACTTGTAGCTCATATTTTGCTACATAGTGTCGCAACACAATGAACTGTTCTAGCCAATCATCTACTCTATCTGTCATAAGCTTTCGAGGGTCACTTAGCTGCTTGTGTTGTTCTTCAGTGAGTATGTCCTCCATCTGTTTTATATGTCTTTTTAGTTTTGCTGTTCAATTGAGAAGAAAATAATGCATACACTGTAAGTGTTAGACATTGATAAGTTCCTTTTTGCACTCTGTTGTTGTGTTTAGCTTTCCTTTGTTTAAAGTTGGAAGATAATACTAGATATCTAGTGGTAAACGTCAAGATCAATCATTTCCTGCCTGTGAGCTCTATTTTTCTCAACATGTCATGCCTGATGCAGTTTGTTGATGAAAATATTAAACCAAAGCAGACTGTCTCACCAATGTTGTAACCAGTGTTGTAGCTATGATCCGGAGTCTCTTTGTTGGAATCACTGGCGGATATTGAAGTCTCTGGATAACAAAAAAGATTTTTATTAATAGTAAAAAGAATATCAAGTAACTTTTTTGATGTTATTATCCAGTTCCATTTAGAGGAAGAAAAGTTTGGCAACCAAGTGTATAGCAGTACATGTAGGGCACCTTTTCTTTGACATTACATTTCAGTCGGCACTTTGCAGTATGTTAAGCCTCTAGGCATAGTTATTCTTCTGTTCATATTACGTTCACATAGTCACACTGAATTTAAACTGTAATGTTAATACTGGGCAAATAATAATAATGATACATACCAGGGATCACTGAGTCTTCTGGGAGATACTCTGCCCCTCCTGTGCCAATGTAATCTAATGCTGGGTCCCCTGACAACAATAACACATTAATCTGGTAAGATTCCAAGGAATGTTTACAAATTTAAATTATAATAATATTATAATACGAGAATATTGTGTACCTGTATAATGTTAGTGAAATAATCTGGAGATCTAATGGAAGTTGTACGTAAAATATACTCAGTCATGTAACACACAAATATACCGCTGATTACCCAAAAAGCAGCTCATTTCTCTTAGACCATTTATTGTTCAATTATAAAGTAATACAGAGGGTGGCTTTGTGGTAGACTCCTATTCCAAATGTCCTGTTTTCTCTTTCTTTTGGCCAGGTGGACAGATAAGGATGACTTACGTACATGACTATCTCATGCGAACATCTTAGTTTGTTAGAGTAACACCTGTTTTAAAATAAGTAACATTTTTAATAGTTCAGTCTTTATGAATAACGACAACATATGAACCTCTGAACGAAAACCTAATGGCCAGTGTCCTTGTAATTGATTGGATCACCTCAATTTATTGCGGGGCACTCAAGACAATCAACCAAATGGACACCAGGCTATATTATCTAGACTTAAGCTTTGTCCAGGTCCAGGCAGAACCAAACACAAACCATCCTAAAGCTGTATATCTGTACTCGTAGTTCTATCCAGGCAATTAATGTTGCACAATGATTGCCTACGCACATTTTGAAATGACTTGGGGGAACCAGACAATCCTAAGAATTTTTAGAAACCAGGAGTAAAGGGAAGATAACAAAAAGGCTGCCTCACCATACTGTAATGACTTTTTAACCAGTATTCTAAGCACTTCCCACTCTTTGGGTTGGTAACCAAGATTAAAACAAATTCGCAACATTAATAAAGGAAGAAGCCGTGGTGATGCAAGAAGCTAGTGAAAGAAAAGAAAAACATTTAATTAAAAAAACAGGTTTACTGAGTAAATGAAAAGGTGAGAATTTAATGGCTCAACTTAAAGTAGTTGTCAACTTTGTTGTGTCATATGTAGAATTGCATTAAGTTACGAGGGGTCAATTTAAAATAAAACGTTTACAAGCGTAATTTACAAAGTGTAGCTAGCTATTGTTTTAGGGTCCTAAAAACAATAGCTACACTTGTGAATTACGCTTGTAAAAGTTTTATCAAATTGACCCCAGTAGTACTGATCTTGTATTGAAAAGTAGTTCATATGTAATCTTATACCCAGGACCACCAAGTATATCTAATAGTTGAGTTAAACACACAAAAAAATCTGTTACCATGTTCCAAATATCCATAAGTTTCAATTCTGCTCAGTTTAAATGTTACTCTTATAGACTGTGTGGTTACAAAGGGCTCATCAGTTCCGTATAAAGATGGAAAACCCATGGAGATGGGGGGGGGGGACGCAAGTGAAATTCTCTCCATGGTGGGGGTATGGATATGTTCTGGAACCACACATGCCATTGACAAAAAAATTATTATTTCCTCAGCCTATTGCAGAATGAATGGCTCAAGTGCCGTAACCTTTAATGTTAGCTTATATACTCGTACAAGAGATTATCAACCCACCCCACCCCCACCCCCCACTCTCGCTTTTGCTGCTCTGAATGTTTCAAAAAATAAATAATGATTTTGTTTTTTCCTTGGAATATTGCCCTCCATTACACAGCATTTAAGTGGGGGTAGTTGCTTTACTCGATGTGGCAGTGCATGAATTGTTGAAAACTGTTGAACTTTCTACCAGTAACTGAAGTTACCACAGGTTAATCAAAGCAGGACATAACTAGCACTTCCAACCTTGGAATTAACATGACTATAAAGTAACCTAAGGTAATAGTAGGCAGCTGTTTATGCAATATTTGGTAAACTGCTTAGGACTCAAATGTTTAAGTACAAGATGATAGACTTACCTCATCAACGGTTCCAAATATTGCTTGTGAGAGGAATATCAGAAGAGACCTAGGGTAGCCATATCTTTTACATATGTCTGTACAGCTCATCCAGTGGGCAGTATTATTGACACGAGGTGGAATTTTAGCTGGAAGGGCAAGTAGTAAATCTTGAGCAAGAACTATAGTTTACTGCTGATTGGGAAACAATACCTTATAATAATAAATACTCCCATAGTCTAAAATGTCATACGTCTCCACCCCCCCAACCAATGGGGGTGCAGGGAAGAGAAAGTTTGTCTCCCCTGTACCCCCCAAAGGTTAGAAGGTGGAGACCTATGATCGACATTTCTAGACCGTGAGCGGTCGTCCTTTGTTCCTCAGTGCCATGCAGGGCGCGTAAAAAGTTAAAATTATGCAAATTACTTGCAAAAAAGGAGGAGAGATTGGGGCGAGAGAGGAAAAAGGACGACGGCAGAGGTTTTATATGTCTTTTGAATTACCCGTTTCAGCAAAACAGAAATTCCGATTGGTCACCTACTTGTCAATCTGTCAAAAATGCAATCTGTCAAAAAAAGCCTCAGTCTGTAGGGAGTCCACTTTTCGCACGTCGCTTTGAGATAAGATGGGGGACAGAAAAGATGTTTTGAAACGTGTTTGTGAGGAAAAGTTAGGCAGAAAAAATTCTTAAATCTAGACAAGAAGAAGCCGTTTTATCACTTTTGAGTGGAAAGGACTTATTTGCTTATTTTTTCTTCACTTGAGCTCCGCCCTCGTTCCTTGCGGCTTCGCCGCTCGCTCCTCACACGTTATCGCACTTAACAGTGACACTAAAGAAAAATAAGAGACAGCTTGCAGTCTATGACAATTCAGACTAAGGTTACTATAAAAAAATAATTTTTTTATGTAAAGTGGTGTTTTCTCCTTACTCAACGGTTAAGATGAGAAACTGTAGGCAAACTTAAAAGTCAACATAACTCATTAAAATAAGGTGAAACCATAACTTTGAGTTTCCATGGTTACAATTATATTTGCATAGGTGTGTTTGGAAAATTTAAAGGTCTCAAGCAACTGTTGCCTGTTGTAATTGACAAATTTATCCTTCATTTCACAAGCAATTACAAAGTAGTAAATCTATATGTTGATATTTTGGGATTTTCTAAACTAAAAAAAAACAACACTTACGTTCAAATATGTGGCTCAAAGCTTGTCCAAAGCACAGAACAAGTACCCACAATGCTGGGTTGTAGAACCAGTACATGAGTTTAAAAGCATTAAAATACTTCAAATGAGGTGCATGTTCAGTGTGGTTCCAACACTCATTACAGCTGGTGTTTTCTGGTAATGAATTCTTCACTGCCATTTGAAAAGTTATGTTTGCGAGAATATAAAGAACTCCCATGGGTAACAGCATAAATAACTGAAAGAAATAGGCCAGCGCAACTTATTATTAATTTATTTTGATTGTTAAGTATTTAATTTACATTCATTTCCAAATTAGCAGAGTAAAGAAATTTTCCTAGCTAACATTTTGTTTTCTATCAGACTGTTATCTTGTGAGATTATTTTTCACATCAACTTTTTCATCTCTAGGTGAAATCCTGTGTGTTTCATTTCAAATAAAAACTTCCTACTTACAGCAGAACTTTTACATAGTAGTGTTTCCTTCATAGGATTTTTCAAAATGAAATTTGAATTCTTTTGTTGTAAATATTTTGTTATTTTGCCACAGACAGTGACTGAAAGGGTTAAGAGTTTATTTATAAGCGAGACAACTTAGACCATCATTGTAAGACATTTTTAATACAAGATGTTTAGGGATACAATTGTAACATGTGTAACAGGAGTGTGCTCCCACTTAAGTCCATTTAGTTACCTAGATAATGTACCCTGCGAGCAGGTCAGGTTTATCTCTTGCATAGCTTTTAGCATTTACAAAGTTGTTTGCATGGAGCTTGTCTATCACGTGGGCATAAACAAACCCAAACCTCATGACAGACAAGCCACGTGAACGACCTCGTAAACGCTAAAGCCATGCAAGAGAGAAACCTCTGCTAGCAAGGTACCTAGATTACATGGATATCAGAAAAATAGGCATACCCCTAAGAGACGAGTCTTCTGTACAAAACCCCATATTGTGTACCATAGCATGAAGGCATAAGCCATGACAGCAGCACCATTGAGAACAAGTACTTCTGTGTTGGCTAGTGTGTAACATCCAAAAAATCTCCATTGTGCAAAGAATGTCATCATCATCATCACAATGAAAGGCTGCATGTGAAAAACAGATTATTCAGCATTAATTTAGTTTAAGCAATAATGTCGATAGCAATGCCATCGGGTTGAAGGTGCTGTTCTTTTGCTTAATATTTTAAACTTTGGATAAATTATGAGAAATAAATAAATATTATTATATAATTAAAATGTGATTGAGACTGAGTGAGAGCATAACTGTTCTTAAAAGTGACTAATTTTTGTGCAAAAAGAGCAAAAATCTCTCCATGTAAAAGGTCACACATTTTTCTAAGAAGACAGCAAAAAGAGTGACGTGGAGGTCACTGACATGGGAGAATGTTAACTTCTAGATGTACTTTACCTCAATTTTATTTAAATGTATACTAGAAATATGTTATTGCAAATATAAAACCTCATGAAGCTTATAAGACGGTCAGCAGTAACAATAAGGGAAACAAGGGAAAGAGAAAAATGTGATATAAAAGAAAACAAAACAAAAAACCTAAAAAGAAAAACATATATATTGTACAACAAAGAAAGAAATTTCGATCCACCAGGATTCAAACTTGCAACATAACCACCAGCCGGTAGTATATTAACCCCTATACCAATTATTGGGCCACATGCCACTCTGCGTTATTAACTTTATACCATGTTTGTCTGTCGTCGACAACATTTGAAGGACTGTACTGGTGGAGCTGCTTTTATCAAAAATTTAAAGATGCATTTGAGGAAGATAAGTTTATCCACTTATTTCAAAGCCATTGTGCATTATTTTGGCCTAAATTCACTCTTGGATTCAACGGGTGATTGATGTACGGACCTGAAACCAGTCTTTTAACCATAAGTCACATCAATTGGTGGGGAAAGACGGAAAGAACCAATTCATTGTCGGTTTCCCTCCACATAAAATGAATTCAACGGTATAGTTTTCAGGAAAAAGCAAAGTTTTCACGGTAAAAAGCCAAACTGAAATGCACTTTCGACAAACAAAGATATCCCGGGCATATTGACACATGTTCTTTAATCTTGATTTTTGCTCTTATTTACCTGAAGAACAATAATTTATTGTTCTCTGTAAAATACTCAGCAATCGAAAGTAATCGCCAAAAGCATTTCTTGATTGCCAAGAGGGCTTCAAAAACAGTCAAAACCATGCTGTTTGAGTTTCTTGATGATGTCATTACATTGCAGAGATCATTGGATATATACAAGTACAGATGGGCCAACTGAGATTGCAAGCTGCTATGATCCTTGTTGTGCTTGGAATTAATTTTAAATGTTCTATTATTTAAAAACATACTGTACCATGAAAATGTAATGGCCAAGCTTTGTTAGAAATCGGATGTGGAAAATCTCCACCAAATACAGCTGGTAGTAAAGACTCAGGCCAGTAACATTTGTTAATGGTGCTACAAAAAATCTGGCCCAAAATCTGGTGAATGGGTTTCTTGCCCGCACGAATCTGTCACAGCATAGGTGCCTCCAGCATGACATCTCCCAACTATCTGGCCAGTAGCGTTTAGCTGGTGGCTAGTGGTGAAATGAAATTTCCTTAATTTAATTACTGTATATAATCAATAAGTGTATATATTGCATGCTAACATTCCCGATTATCGTAAAATTCCAGGCTGAGAATCTCCCATGGGAGATACACTGGGCAAAACCTTGCATTCTCCTTTAATAAGTCATACTCCTCGACAATTGCGACTCTAGAGAACCAAAGTTTAACCCCAAATTTTCTCAAAGCCCTCCGTATATTTCATTCATTGTTTGTTTGCTCTTTTTTTCATTTCAAGATTTTACATTTCAAGATACTATTTCTGGCAGCATTTTCATGCATTTTAATTCACCCTTGGGTAATAACTATATATTTTCTCATGATCATGAATGAACTGTGGCCAATGGTGAGTAACTATAATTTGCTCAATACAATAATTTTATAAAAATTAAGGGTTATCAGAGGAAAGAACAGTGACTAACAACAGTTGAGATTAAATATTTGGCTTCCAGTCTCTCATGCAGCCTTATCATATGATGAATAGTTTCTACTGTACATTATGCGTTAACGTGTGAATAGCCAGATCAGGCCCATTATTTTTCTGAAAAATGACTAAAAATTGGTATGAAAATATGGAAATAATTACCTGTATCAGAGGTCGACTAAGCTCTTCATCAGTAGCTGTTAAAACCTCTACACTTCCACTCGCACCGGGTGCATCTACTTCATCTTCTCGCAGTCCAGACTCCCGAAGACTACGTCGCTGACGCCCCATGGAACCATATGTTCCTTCAACAAGTCTTGATGATGTGCGAAGCCGAATGTCATTTCTTATGACTTGGTTGTGAACAATTAACTGATCCCACAGTGGATCTAGCAATCAAGAATTCAAAATTAGGTGCTGTTTACATAGAGAGTCCTAGGAAGATCCTAAAAATTCTTTATCCAGTTTACATGCAAAAAGTCGTACTGTCTTGTCACTTGCGCTAGGATCTTTCTGATCTAGTACTAGGATCTTCCTAGCTGAGAGGTTGGAAGATTCTAGCACAATGTGAACTGCTTTCACCAGGAAGATCCTAGTACTACAGACAAACCAGACAAAAAAGGTGGCAGTCGGTTTAGCCATAGTTAATTGAGTGGAATGGTCATGAAACCCGTCAGACTCCTTTGTTATATTTTTTTGTGGACCTGAAAGTGCACAACGTTCAAAAGAATTCCTATCATTTTGATTGTATTGACCAATAAAAACGTTGCATTAATTTATTCGGTAACAATTTGCCAACAGAAAACAATGGATTGTGCACTTTCACGTTACTTCCAACATAAACTGCAGCACTGTTGTTCTTATCATTGATGTTTGCCGCTTTTCATAACCAGTCTCCTCTAATAACTATGGTTTAGCAGGTAATCACGGCAATAAAGGCTGATGGTTTTGTTAGGAGTTACCATGAGCTGATATATTTATTGTGGTAATTCTGCTGAAAGGTAGTTATAAAACCAGTAAAGAGAGCAGAAGGGGCCACATTGCGTTTTTGCTATTGTTGCCCGCCATCACTAATTCGCTCTCTACTTGGTGTCACAAAATTTCCTCATGTAAACCCAGTAAAAAGTTATTCCGCCTTCTGGGATCTTCCTGGTGCTAGGGTCTTCCTACGTCCATATATATATAGACAGCCCCTTAGTGTTAAGGAATAATAGAAGGAAGGAAAGGTTGAATGAAAAGGAAAGAACTGATTTCACCGAAATCCTGGATGAATTAAAGGTCGAGTAAAGCAAAATGCTTACAATGATAAACCCTGTTCTTTTGGTCATATTCAAGATCCTCTTCAGTAACCACACCCAAATATCGACCATGATTGTCGCTGTATGGCACGGCAAATTTCACCAGTCCACCAGGGTGTTCCAGCACTTCATCTGTCATTAGAATTCTTGCTTCTGATCGAAAGCTTGTACAGTCCTGGTCACGTGGTTTAATCTTTTTCAAGAATGCTTGGAGTCCAGCTAGCTTTATCTGTGAATAGAGAGGCATAAATTACTTATTTATTTTCCCTGCTACAATGTCATAGATATAAGCAGCATTTAAATTTTCCTGTACTGCTGCAATTTAACCCCAAACTCCAAAATCCTGTACTTTTAGATTTATTAGGGTCATTGGTGTCATTTTTCTGGCCTTTCACCATATGGCGAAGATTTTTCCATCATCACAGCCATAATTTTATATTAAGCAACTGCATTATTGAATCAATCTTCATCAAAAGTCCACATCAATTAATATTTGGGGTCCGGGTCAGTTGTGTCTATATGGGGTAGTGGAGTAATACAGTTTGATAATGGAGTAGTAGGTGATAATGCAAATTTTAAAAAGAGATTCTCCAGTTGTCAAAATACCTTTAGAGGTTAAATTGGCACCTTTGACAGTAGTTACAGGGATGTGAGATGACCTTTTCTAAGTTAGAAATGTTTTACCCATACACCAAGCAAATTAGTCGGAAAGAGCAACAACAACAACCACAACAACAATCTTTTTTTCCTTATCATTAAGTTTTACAAAAGTAGCCTGGCCAGGTTGCATAAAGCCTTCTTAATATAAGAGGGCTCTTAACTTTTGTTCTAAAACAATATAAACCCATTGTTTTGAAAAAATAGTTGCGAGCTCCCTTAATCTTAAGATGTTTTATGCAACCAGACCCTGGCCTGCAGGTAGCTGGAGTTAACCGTGGCTGGCCAGTCAATATTACGTGCAGGGAATGTTTAAATTTTATTCTTTTAATTTATGTTCATGTTTGTCTATATATAAAATGATACCAAAAGATTATACAAAGGGGAGAAATAATTATTAATAAACAGGACATAAAGGATTTACAGTAAATAAAGTTTATTGGAAAAATCTGGTATACTCTCGTTACTCAGGATTATAATTTAGAAATGATCTGGTGTATATCAATGAACCAATCTACCTCTTTGAAAATACTCAGTAGCACACTTATAAATTCCTTTTTTGAATGAACTGATAGCGATAATAGACATTTAATTACGTACTTGTTTGCTGTAAATATTTTCTCTTAGTGTTTATTTAGTAAAAAGTGAATCAGTAAACTTGCCTCGTACTCCTCAACATCATGCCTTGATTGATGGCGTTTAGGCCAAACTCGTCCTGCAGTTGCCCCGCCCAGTGGGTGATCCATGTTCTGTGGTGGGACTGGCTTGAATTGGTCACCAAAGTCCACAAACAGTACCACAGTATCACCAATGTCAGCAAAGTTAGGAAAATGATTGCCTGAAGCGCACATGCGCACCAAGGGTTTGGTTGGGTGTGGAGTATTGGCTGCCTGAGTAGTACAGCAGCTTCCCAT